ATGTTTTTCAATTTTGTTTATACTTGTTTTCGTTACTTTGTAGTTGATTTCGGGTTTTGCTATTTTTATTTTTTTGTAATTATTATCGAGAAATGTACAGTAGCTTTCGATAGTTTTATAATTATTTTCGATTTTTTGTGTTGATTTACACAATTTATAGTTGTTTACCATTTCTTTTATAGCTGATTTCGTTCATTTGTAGTTGTTTTTATTTTTTGTAAATTTGTTATTTGTAAATCACCGTGTTTTATGTAGTTGTTTTATAGTTTTATAATAGTTGATTATGGCGAAAAAAACGAACAGTTGAAAAAAATAGTTATTTTGTAATAGTTGTTTTACGATTTATAGTTTTTTTTTATTAAAAAATGGCAAAAAATAGTTGTTTTGTAATAGTTGTTTTACAAGTTATAGTTGTTTTTTTATTAAAAAATGGCAAAAAAATAGTTGTTTTTCTTGAAAAAATTGGCCAAAATAACTGAAAATTAAAATTAAGAAAAATAAAATAAAAAATTGAAATTATAGTCGATTTCAGAAATATTATAGTTGATTTCAGAATCTTTATAGTTGATTCCGAACAAAAAAAGGGAAATTAAAACAATAAAATAAAATAAAAATTATTTTTAATTAAAAAATTAAAAGAAAAATATTTTTAAAGCTATTATTGTTAGTTTTTTATTAAAATAATAAAAAAAACGAAAAATTAAATTTATTTAAATTATATATTAAAAAAATTAGGGTTTGCGATTGTAGGGATATCAAGTTTCTGAATTTTGTGTGTGTCTTCTAGAAGGCTATTTTCGGGAATCATTAAAATAGTGGGTTTTTCACTAATATTGAAAATATGGCTGGATCCCCCCTTATTAAAAAAACACTAGAGAGGGTTATGGCTAATAGTCCCTTAATATTCCAAGACATGGGTGTAAGATGCAATAAAGCAATCAAACCATATACTCTGTTCCAATTATATCCTTATTAATTTTCCTAACACTATTTCTGCATTAATTAGTAAATAAGGGTATGTTTGTCTATTAATATCGATTTTCTTAAAATCAATACATATTTATTGAGATTCTTACAACTTCTATCCAAATGAAAAACGACATCTATATAGAAATAGAGGGTGTATGCATAGCTTGTAAAAAGTTATATGTTTTGCTTGTTTCCGAGTATTCGTATTGAACCATAGTAATTGTAATAAGAGGTGTATATAGGGGTTTCAAGTAGTAGCACGCATGGTTGTCAAATTACGAATCGAATTAAAATTCATTTTGTCAAAAAAAAAAAACGAATTGTAAATTGTAAGATTAATTTATCTTTCTTTAAAAATATTAAATAATAATATATATTAAATGATGTACATGTATTTATGAAACATTGCATAGTATTCGCCAAAAAAAAAAAAATATGTGATGCGGGCATGAATGCCTCAAAACTCAAAGGGGTCTTTAGCAATACACCCCTTGGATGAGTAATAAATGGTGATATGTCCAACCTTTAAATCTTTCTTTGTGATAAACCCCTATAAATATTAATTTCAATATTACCCTTCTGAAATTAGAAAATCTCCTACCCAATAATTCACCCAATAATCCACGTCCGCTTTCCTTAAATAATGCCAAAATAATAGCAATTTTTTTCCAACTCAATATTCCAATTCCTTAAAATCAGCCAACTTATTAAAAAAATAAAAAACCAGCTTAATATGCTCCATAAAATCAGCAACAAATAAAAAAAAAAATTTGCTTCTTCACATAAAAAATCAAAACTCACGTGCAGATGAAGTTTTTTTTTTCATATTTTTTTAATATTTTCTTAAATTCTTTTAAACGAAAAATTGTTTTTTTTTCTCGACAAGTTTACTACGCCGAATATGACTATAGTTGAATATGACTAGAGGCATATTTTCTTAAATTTTTTTAAACAAAAAATCGATTTCTTTCCCCCGACAAGTTTACTACGCCGAATATGACTATAGTTGAATATGACTATAGGCATATTTTCTTAAATTTTTTTAAACAAAAAATTGATTTTTTTCCTCCGACAAGTGTACTACGCCGAATATGACTATAGTTGAATAAGAATATAGTGTAATATGACTATATGTGACTATATCAACTGTAGTCATATTCTTTCTTTATATTGCACTTTTTTTAATTTTTAACTTCAAAATTCTGATTATATAGTGCGGTAAAGTCACGTTTACCAAATTATATAAAACAACTAAAATTCCCTATTGTTTAGGAAAACAATGCAATCAACATCCACACAAAAAAACCACAAAAAACCACAATTTAAATCTTGTTATTACAAGTCAACTTGAAACGAGAATATAGAACATATTCGAATATGACTACAATCATATTCAACAATAGTCATATTCGAAAAATACACAAATATGACTATAGTCATGTTGCTGCTACTGTACATATTTGAACTGTATTTTCAGATCTGGAAAAGAAAAAGAGAGAGAGAGAGAGAGAGAGAGAGAGAGAGAGAGAGAGAGAGAGAGAGAGAGAGAGAGAGAGAGAGAGAGAGAGAGAGAGAGAGAGAGAGAGAAATCGAAAGTACATAAATAAAGGTAGAAAATTAACAAAAGAGATGGAGGGGGAATACACTTCAATTTGTCTAACTAAATACATAAATAGGACTATAGTCATATTCATAAATAGGACTATAGTCATATTCGAATATGACGATAGTCATGTTGCTGCAACTGTACAGATCTGAAACTCTATTTTCAGATTGAGAGAGAGAGAGAGAGAGAGAGAGAGAGAGAGAGAGAGAGAGAGAAATACATAAATAAAGGTAGAAAATTTACGAAAGAGAGGGAGGGGGAATACACTTCAATTTGTCTAACTAAATACATAAATAGGACTATAGTCATATTCATAAATAGGACTATAGTCATATTCGAATATGACGATAGTCATGTTGCTGCAACTGTACAGATCTGAAACTCTATTTTCAGATTGAGAGAGAGAGAGAGAGAGAGAGAGAGAGAGAGAGAGAAATACATAAATAAAGGTAGAAAATTAACGAAAGAGAGGGAGGGGGAGTCAACGGCGATGGCGGCGATGGTGAACGAAAGAGGACGGTGGTGGTGGTGGTGGAAGGCAGATCTGGAAAAAAAAATGAGAAATCGAGAAAGATAACGAAAAAGAGAGAAGAAGCCTTACGTGAAAACGAAGGAGGCGGCGGCGGCACAAGCGACGACGGTGGTGGTGGTAAGCAAATCTAGACGATGTTGGTGTAAGGAGAGAAATCGAGAGAGAACGAGATTATTTATGTGGAGACGAAGGAGGAAAGCGGCGGCGTTGGTGACGGCGGTGGTGGCGGTGGCGGCGGCGGCGGTGGATGAAGCTTGAAATTTAAGGAGTGTTTTGAGGGATGTAGGTGGAGAGGTGGAGAAGAGAGAAGATGAAAGTGGTAGGTGGGCAAATAATTAGAATTATAATAGTTGAGGGTACTTTTGTCTTCTCACACTAGTGTAGGGGGGTCTCACTAATTAATAATGAAATTTGGGTGTATGCAAAAGTCTTTACAAATCAATTGGGTTTAGTTCAAAATATTTTCCATTTGAGGGGTCTATTGCATATTTTCCCAAACTCAAAAGCCAATTTTTGAAAGCATCCTACAACACGGTCTAGAGCGTGTATAACCAGGCCCACTACATGACAATCCATTTCCACCCAATAAGCCCCTTCCACGTGGAGGAGATAATGGACAAATTTGATTACGTTTCAGAAGCGGAAAGCTTGCAGTTTGACGTGGAACAAAGAATGGCCCACTTGACATCTAAAATAAAGGGTGCGCACGCACGCGAGCCCTCTCCGTCTGTACTGATTCAGCTCACTTAAGATAAAGAGCTCGCTCTCAATAGAAATGCATCTTGGGGAAATTACATTACACCCACGTATGGGTATGACCAAAGTTAGAAGAGGGTCCTATCACCCCACTTCTAAGTCAGGTATAAATACATCATTGGGAATCGCGGAAAGAGGTTTCATAAAAATAAACACTCTACTTTCTTATATCATTAGTGACTTGACTGTCAAAGTACTAAAGGTAAGATATATCTCTCCAATACTCCTTTTTACATGTCTTTTAGGAAATTCTTTGACTTTTCGTAAAGGGTTCCTTCATTCAAAGGCCCACACTATCTTCTCCTTCCTATTTTTAGCCAAAATGGCAACATCAATATGATTAACATGCAAAAACTAAAATTTAATAGTAAATAGCCAATTTTTAACATAATAAAAGCAACAAAAAAAATATTAAAAAAGTATGATATACCATCATTTAATTTGTAATATTTATCAATGTAAATATTAAATATTATTAGATAGCCTTATGTGGTATTTTGAAATTATAACATCAATTTGATGAAATATGAAGCTTTTAGAGTGAACATTGACATTTTTTGGTTTTCTAATAAAGTTCTTTGATAAAGACGTGTTGGAGCGAATTCACCATTGAACGACTATGGTTGACTTTAACCACTTTCACTCTAAATATTTATATTTTTACACAACATAATAGTATTTATTTATTTGGTCATGTAACAATGGTGATTTTTTATAAAATAAATATTTAAATGGATCAACTGTAATTTGCAAATGTTTTTTAAAATAGATTATGAGCTTTTTTCTGCAAATAACCTGTTTTTAGTTGTTTGCGAAACAAGATTTTGCTTTAGTTTCTCTTAAAATAAGTTGCTTTAAACTATAATTTTAAAAGTAGTCATGTACGAATCTTGTTTTTTCTATTTTAGTTGATTTTCCAGCTAATTTGCAAACACCTCCAACTTTTAGAAATAAACAGTTAATTACAACTAAAATCACAATCACTAACTTCTGTTTTTAAATAAGTTTTTGCAAACACCACTTAAATATATTACTAATATCGACTTATTTCACCCTAACTATGCGCTTTTTAAAAGTTAAAAAATACCAAAAAAACAAAAAAACAAAAAACAAAAAACAAAAACAATACAAAAAATAACGGGGGTTAAAATGAATATTTTAATAAGCCGATGACCTTCGAAGTAAACATTTCCCAAAACGGTTATAGAAGCAACACAGTTCAAAAAACTGCAACTGCTTGTTTAATACGCTACTCGCCAAATTCTCAATCTCCACCTCCGGCCACTGCAACTCAATCTCCACCGCCGGCCACTAACCTAACCACCAACATCTCTTTTCATTTCTACATCAATTTACACACAGTAATTGGAGGAAATCGTTTCGCAAAAAAAGTTCAAATTTGTGTTTTACGAAATAATGGCGTTCTCTTCTTCCAGTTCCCGTAAGTCTCATCTCTTTCTCTCTCTAGAACTGACGTATTGATATTGTATGTATGCAGTGAAAAATTTCACAATTCTGCTTATTTTCTTCGTTCGAAACCCTGTTTTCCCCAATTGCACGCTATTTTGACTTTTTTTTCTTCGGCGAAGTACGGATGTTTTTATGTTTCCGATGATCTGTCTTGTTGCTTGTCACAAATTGATTAATATGAATGGAAAAACCTAGAAAATCTATGCCTGTATAATTTGCATCTAAGAAATCAGTCTGGAATTTTGTTTCGTAGTGTATTGTTTTGTATGCGTCAACAGAAAACGGAGAGGTTTGGGATTATCATTTGTTCTGGGTTCATCATGCTGAATTTTTTTCAGGTTGAATTACCGTCGTTGGTTTCTTTGTTTCGTAATGTATATTAGTGACAATTGAATTGAGTACTTTACTTTTTTGTGTGTATCCTTTTTTCGTACGTTTGAAATTCTTGAAGTTGAAGTTTTTCATAGAGAATCGATAGTGAAAATTCTATGTTCTACTGGCAGCTTTTGGGCAGAATATCAATTCAAGCAGTAATTCGTCAAATCCTTATCGCACTTTAATTGAAGGTTCATCAGTTTTTGCTCAAAATATATCATCTCCTTTTCAAAGAAGCAATCCATCAGGTTTTGGAGGTAAGCACTATTGTATCGTTTTTCATATTTCCGCTCTGAGTATTGGTAATTAATTACATATAAATTGTACTTATAGAACATATACTTCTCTTCTTGCAGAATAGCTAGTTTGACCAAACATGAATGCTATGTATACTTTAAGATTACTTTGGCTTTAAAACGAAAAAGATGACCTTCTCTATTGATATTTAAAGTTCGAATAGTTATATTGATTTTTCGTTGACTATTTTGTACTGCAGGATTCCAGGCCACACCAATATCTCAGGGCAGTGCTTCCACTCCCAGCTTTAGTGACCTACTTAGAGGAAGTACAGTAGCATCTTATACTCCAACACTGGGCATAGATGAAAATGGCCGCAAATTCCAGTCTATATCTGCAATGCCGATTTACCAGTCTAAAAGTCATGAAGAGTTGAGGTTAGAGGACTATGAGTTAAAACAGGGTGAGTTTGTGTAGCATTGCATGATCTGGTTAGTGTATTCGGTATTCACTTACATCCATGATTGCCTAATTTTTTTTTTTATTATTAACCGTGCAGAATCAAATTCTTATGTTGGTCGTTTTGATATGGCTGCTACAACATCGAAGTCATATGTTAGTCCACCATTTGGCAGCCCGTGCACTCAGTTTGCGTCAATTAGTGGTAGCAATAATGGTCTTTTTGGAGCATCAATTCCTACAATCTTTGGTGCCCCGAACACCTCAGGGATTAGCTTCAATTCGAAACCAGCAGCTGTTGGCTCAGAATCAGCAAATGGTAGCAACACAAACTCGATATTTGGTGTATCTAATGCTTTTGCACCTTTGAGTGCCAGCACTGGTTTTACCTTCCCCACAACACTACAATTTGGTATTAAGCCGACTCCTCCATTATGGTCAACTTCAGCATCTGTAGTTCCAAGCACTTCAAGCTCTTCTACCCCAACTACAGTAGGATTTGGAGTTCAGAGTTCTTCTGGTGAGTAATATCAAAACGCTTTTTACCAGCTGTAGACAGTGTTCCGTAGATTTATAAATCCTTTAGTAGACAGCTGCAGACTAAAAGTTCGTTTATGAATTACGCTAAAAAAGGTATGGTTGTAGCCTTGAATTGATGTCGTGTTCTTCTTTCTATTTTTCGTAACTGTTTCGTGCTTCTATTTTGATTAGGGGGACAGACCAAACCTATCTTTCCTTTTCCACCATTATCAAACCCTTTTATCTTTCAAGCCGCAACGACACCTCCATTATGCTCAACTTCAACATCTGTTGTTCCAAGTACTTCAAGCTTTTATGGTTTCGGTCAAACCTCAGCGCCCGAAAATACAAGTGCATTTGGAGTTCAAAGACCTGCTGGTGTGTATTATCTAAACTCTTTACCAGCTATACACATAGTATTCCGTAGATTATATGAAATACGTAATAACTGTTTTGTGCTTCTGTTTTATCTTCAGATTGTTTCAAGACTTCATCCTTTGATAATATCTTCCATGTTCCACCATTATCGAATTCACCGTTTCATCCTAAACCATGTTTCAATACACCAGCTTCAACACTTTTCCAACAGCCTGGACAAACTACTAACAGCCTGAGTCAACCATCACAAGGTAATAAGATAAACTTTCTCCTCGTTTTCTTCATCTATGTTACGACATAAAGTTTCAGACATGAAACTGATAGATTCTTTATATTCCCATTTCAAAAGCTTCAAACCGCTCGACAATGTTCACAGAGCAGACTATTAACGGACAAGAGTAAGTGCCATTGCTTCTTCACTCTAGTTTTCAGCATGTTTCTTATAGTTTCTGTTGCTTCTTCATTTTCTTTCATTAATATAAGAGTAAATCAAGAAACGAAACCACAAAGCGGGAAGAGTTTTACATGGTTAGGATTAATATACTAGAAAGCTAATAACAAAGATCCCTTTTCATATCTTATAAAATATCCTAATCTAACTCAGCCAGTCTAAGTGTCTAACAAGCTAAAAATATTTAGTTCAAATTTCAATATGATATCGTTTTCATATATCAGCAATTTCACTAAACAAGAAACAATAGAAAAGCTATACATAGTGAATGATATTTTTTCACTAGAACAAGAAAACAGCATCATGGATACTGATATGTCTCACTATAGATATATAAATGATGTGCATTCCATGAGAATGTGACGTGATGTCATCGAAATAAATATATATCAGTTACTTAAGAAAACAAGGTTTGAAGTTTCCTCGTTAAAACTTATTTCATTCAGAATTGAACATTCATTGTAAGGATTTCCGTTAAATTTCATTTATGCTGTTTATGTCTAGCGAAGTCCGCGAATATCTTAATACTCCGAATATCTTAATCATTTCGTTTCCTGACATTCCCTAATTCATGATGTTTACAGGCAATCGGCGAATCCTTTCGGCATACAATATGAAACTGATGGACCCCATGCAGTAATTACAATACGACATGGAACATCTATCATACAAGCAAGTCATATATTTCATACAATAGAATTCTCTTAAGAACATTAACTTTCTCTTTATTTAACTAGGAAAACTTCAATATGGTATCAGTTTAAACACACAAATAAGAATAAAGTTTTGATGAAGGTTTAAAAGTTTAGGTTTTGTTTTATTTTCGGTCCTAGTGTATGTTTTCACTATTTGAATTTATGAATAATTGCAGGTTTCAGGCGAAATTTCATCTTTAGCTATCCGAGAAGTGTCCTCAAGTCACGACAATCTGCCTGCTCGAGAAAATAGTGGTGGAAGCATTGAGCCTAAGGTATGAGACAATGTGTGATTCGTTGGACTACAAATATTATAATGATATTTTACAACACGTATCTCGCAAATGCAGGTTCCGTTTGTCAATAATGAAGAAGATAGACCTTTCTCAGTTGATCCTTTACACCGGCCTTGTTTTATTAACTCACACGGTAAGCCTTCCACTGTTCTATCTTGTTGGAACCGAACGCCATCTGATAAGTCAAACGTCTAGATTTTCAGATTAGGAGTATCAGTTTTCATTAATCGACATAATTCTATTGTGATTTTTTTATTACAATCTATACGTGCTATTTACTGGTATTACGACAGTTCTATTTGTGCTGTTTACTAGCATTAGAACAGTTCTACATGAGAAGAATGATCCTACAATAATTTTGTATCATGACATTTATCCACTTGACTATAACAGTCTTGCGTCATAAACCATATTTGTTTTGCGGAATTTCTAATTGCAGTAAGATAGATGCTGTACATAATTTAAGATTACTTTGTCTTAAGAAAACTTCTCTTTGCTGTCTGTCGAAAATGTCACCTGATATCAAAATATTACGTTTAGATGAAATGCTCCTTTTTATGTTCCGATAGTTGTATTGATTTTTCATCTACTATTTCTACTGCAGAATTCCAGGGCACCACAATTACATGGGGTACTGTATGCTTGTTTTAGTGTCGTATTTCATACACTATCTGATTTGGTTTTCTCCACATTTTATATCAATGTCATTCATTTGTTAGATATATTTTTCTGGCAGAAGGTTTTATGGTTTTTAAATCAGGTATACGATGCCGAAAACACACATCTATGTGTTCTTGTTTGTCCCGGTTCATTTTGGTTTTCTTTTTATTTTTTTTGTGTGTGTTTTTAAATATTAATTACTATAATTTGCACCTATAAATTCTGAATGATTGCAAATGTGTAAAATGGCAGGTAAAGACTGTGAAGGCAAAGCTTGTCCTAAGGCTTCCTTCAGAATGAACGTCAACGAAACAGAGTTGACTGATGATAGTTCCGTCAAAGATGAAGATGAAGATGAATTATTAATCAAACACGAGGCTGATGTTCTAGATCTAATGCCAAAGCTACCAGACGGTGATTATTACACGGAACCTTCTTTGAAAGATCTGGCAGCAAAGGAAATATCCGAACCGGGATATTGCAGCCGAGTGAATGACTTTGTAGTGGGGAGAAAAGGGTATGGAAGCATCAAATTTCTTGGAGAAACGGATATTCGAAATCTCGATATTGAATCTGTTATCCATTTCAACAATCGAGAAGTGATAGTTTATCCGGATAGTACAAAGAAGCCGCCAGCTGGACAAAGCCTGAACAAGCCAGCAGAGGTAACTCTACAGAATGTGAAATGCATTAGTAAAAAGACGGGAAAAGAGTACGTTGATGGTGTTGAAGTTGAAAGTTACAAAGAGATGCTGGTAAAGAAGGGCTCAGAAAATGGGGCTGAGTTTGTTTCCTATGATCCAGTTTTAGGGGAATGGAAATTCCGAGTTCTACACTTTTAGGAATTGAAGATCAAAGTGTGCTCTTTGTGGTTTCAAGAATTTCTGTGTTTGGTGAACTGTAAATAGATGCAAGTCATCAGTTTTAGTTTGTATAGCTAGGTTTATGGCTTTAAGCAAACCTCACCATGTTCTTACAATGTCTCAAAGGAAATCTTTTTTGAAGTTGCCCTCCTCTTCATTTCTAGTAGCAAAATTTACTTTTTTATGTTGAGTTTTATGATGATGCAGGTGATATAAAAATGTTTTTTTACTCTATTTAATTGTTTAATATATGAATGATAACAATTATTACTTCATCAAAATAACACTCAAGGTTCCATAAATTAATACACCATCAAATTCCTATTAATTTAGTGAAATATTAACTTATCAATAAATTAATAGTTATTAATTTATACATTAATTAATAACTAATTAATTTATGAAATTATTTTTATTATTATTTTCAACAAATACATTTTCTTTTACGTTTATATTATTTATTGTACCGTTAGTTCAACGTACTATAGACTCCATTTTGTCGAACGGAAGCTCTTAAAACAACGATAGTATTGAACAATTTTATGTTGAGTTGTGAAAAAACTATACCAAAAATTCTAACCACGTTACAAAAAAGTGAGGGAAGGGATTGCTGGTGATGTGAATTTCAATAAGAAATAAATGATAATTAAAATATACTTTATTAAGCTTTCTTAGATCTATAATATATGTATTATACTAAGTAATTTGAGAATTATTTTTAAGCATTATCAATTTATATATTATATGGGGCTTCTTAAAATTTTCGAATATGTATTATCTTATAAATTTAGCGAATCATTAATTTAGCACGTTGTCCCCGAGTCAAGACCGGACAAAAGTATTATTTCAGCGAGTTTATTAATTTATCGAGGTTCTACTATATATTATTATTATTATTATTAAAAATAATTTTAATGAACGAATCTACAGGCACCCATATAAATATACTGAATAAACCTACACTTTTATATAGTATCTTGCAAACCATACGAGAAAGTGACCAATGTTACATAGTTACATGACTCATGAGTTTGAAGTAGACAATGACATTCACTTATCTAGTCCCTTACTAACAATGACTCCCGCCTCTACTATTTAAACATTTAATTATGACCCCTCTTAGTTAAATTTCCTACCAATTACGACCCCCTTGCTTAAATTTCCTACCAATTTCGATATATAATTTTTGCACATCTTATTTTATAATTATTATTATTTATTTTCTTAAAATAAATTTATATTCATCCAAATAGATATTTAAGATAAATCAATACAACATTTAACCTAAATTTGTTTTTAATTTTTTTTCCCCTCAACAATCCTCCGCTGTGACTAGAATGAATATTTTATAAAGTAGATGGACCTAAATTTGAATTCCTGAAAAATTACGTACTGTAGTTGTAAATTCATAAAACCCTGTATATTAGCTTTAAACATAAGCAACAGCGTTTATAAGAAAAAAACAAACTTGAAAAAACAGCTTATTCCATAAGCTACTCGTCGAACTCCCCGTTATATATACAATACATACATTAACCTTTTCCCCTTCCTTCCGTACACAATTAATTTACACCCAATCAGAACAAATTTTCGCAGAATCTTTTTTTTTTCTCCAAACAATGGTGATTGCCTCTTCAAATTCCGGTAATTAATCTCTCTCTCTCTCTCTCTCTCTCTCTCTCTCTCTCTCTATTACGAACATAAACATATAGATACATATTGTATTTGTATCATGCACTAAAAAAATTCGGAATATATATATATATAGTTCTGCTTATATTCTTCGTTGAAACTCTTTGTTGCCCAATAATTTCTCTTCTTTTTTTTTGCCGGGGAAAATCAAACAAATCTATTTTTTCTGTGTATATATCATTTATTTATTTATTTATTTATTGTTATTATTATTAAATTTTGAAATTGAATTGTTTCATAAATAATGGATACTGACGATTCTTATGTTGTATTGATTGATTGTTCATCAGTTTTTGGTGCAAAAATATCACCTCCTTTTGGAACAAGTTCATCAAGTTTTGGAGGTAACTGCAATCATGGAGTTTTTGTTTTTCATATTTACACAAACACTACTTATAATTATTTATACTCTAATTTAAGTCCCAATAGTTTTATTGATTTTTCGTCGATTATTTCCCTAATGCAGGATTTCAGGGCAATGCGTCGACTTTTAGTTTCGGTAACCGAATTAGAGGAAGTGCGGTGCAACCGTATTCAGTAACAAAAGAAATAGATTCAGATGGCAGATATGGTTTTGGCAAAATTCATTCAATCTCCGCAATGACGATTTACGAGTGCAAAAGTCACGAAGAGTTGCGGCTCGAAGATTACGAGTCGAAACAGGGTAAGCTTCTTCGCATTATCTGGTTTAATTTGTTGTATTATATTCCATTCAATATATATTTTACAGCAGAACCTCGATTAATTAGTAACCTCGTTTAAATAATATTTTCTCCCGGTCCCGACTCGAAGCCAACGTGTTAAAAAATATTTCGTTAAATTAATATTTCGCTAAATTAATAGAATTTGGTTGGTCCCGACTTCATTAATTTATAGAGGTTTCAACTGTACATCTCTAAAGTTAGTAAAATTAAATTCGTTATTACTAATTAATATTATTTTTTCAATTAATTTTGCAGGATCCAGTTTTCCAATCCAGAAACCGGAAAATACAGTTCGAAATTCGAATGTGTCACCTTTTGCACCTTTTAGTAAGAGCACCGGTTTTAGTTCAAGTAGTACATTTAGCCCTTTTTCGTTCCAATCCCCATCGACCGGACTTTTTAGTACTAAGCCGACGCCTCTATTATGGTCGAATCCGAGCACTTCAAGCTTTTGTTTTAGTTCAAATAGTACATTTAGCCCTTTTTCGTTCCAATCCCCATCGACCGGACATTTTAGTACGAAGCCGACGCCTCTATTATGGTCGAATCCGAGCACTTCAAGCTTTTCCGGTAAGTATATATTTATATATATATTCTCAATATATCTATACGTATCATGAAGCGATTTTCTATTAATATATATAATTTCCTGATACAGGAGGGCAAGGCACAAAAATTAACGGGCTTAGTAGTGGAAACCAGCACAATCAAGAAAGCGGATTTGCATCTCATTATTCTGCAACAATGGATGTTAGCGGTGATTTTTTCGGGGCTAATAATAAAATCGAGTCGATTTCAGCGATGCCGATGTACACAGATAAAAGTCACGAAGAGTTGAGGCTACAACATTATCAATTACGTAACAAAGGTATGAAGGCTCTATATCTATCGATCTAGTCTTTGAGTTGATGTATTGTGCGCGCCGTTTCGACTTTCGACTAACTCTTTTGTGCTTTTGTTTGATTTATTTATTAGGTCCAAATCCACAAGCCTTTGTTACTAGTAACAATAATAACAGTACAATCTCCTCGGGATTTTCAACGCTTTCCCCGCCTTTGAATCCCCCGAATATCAGCCCGTTTTCTTCATGTATACCTCCACCTGCAGCCTCGCCATTGATATTCTCTACCCCGTCAACTTCATTATCTTTTTGGCCCAAGAATTCGTCACAGCCCGGTCAAACTACTGAAAAACCGGGACCCGGTTCTACTAATATTAGCCCGATGAGTCAGCCATTACCACAAGGTACGACAGTGCGTTCATTCATATCTCTGTCTATTCCGTCTTGCTATTCTATAATAAAAACTGTCTAGCTTATGCTTAATCATATCTCTGTCTATTTTGTCTGACTATTTTATAATAAAATTGTCTCGTTTTTCTTCGTGTGTACCTTCATTTGCAGTCTCGCCGTCAATATTCTCTACCCCAGCAACAACATCAGTAGGTATTTGGCCGAAGGCACCACAATTACCCGGACAAACTGATGGAAAAACGGGACCCCATTTTACGAATAATAGCCCGATGAGTCAGCCATCACAAGGTAACTAGATTTGAACTTTCTCGTCGTTATATTTTCTTGATCTATTTGTATGATATAATAAAGCTTCATCCATGCAATTACTAATATATATGTTCTCGTCTTTTCGTTCAAAAAGCTTCGAACTCCTCGACAGTGTTGGCGGAGGTTGCAATTAATCAGAATATAAATGCACAACCACAGTAAGTACCGTTGCTTCTTATACACACTATCTTTTCAGCATTTTTCTTTAGTTTTTCTTTTTTAAATTATTATTAACAGAGAATTAAGCACGATGAGAAAATCGATATTCATGTTTGCCGTTTCGTGATGTTTGTTGGATACAGGTATGTTCCTTGTTCAAGCAGTACTGTGGGCATCCAGTCGGTGAGTCCTCTTGGCATACGATATGCGCCGATACAACATGGAACAACATCTACCGTTCAAGTAAGTCGGGATTTTTTTTTTTAATTTTCATTATTATTTGAATTGATGAATATTAATAATTTAATATAACTCAGGTTTCACAGAAAACTCCTCCGCTATCTATCCGACACGTGTCGTCAAGGCACAGCAGGCTGCCTGATCGAGGACATAGTCGTGCTCGAAGCACTGAGCCTAATAAGGTGAGTGCAATAGTGAGACGATTAATTTTCTGATTCCTTAATTAGGTACAAATTTAATAAATAATGAATAACATAATGATTCAATCATAATAAATGCAGGTTCCATTTTTCCGTAATGAAGAAAATATTAGACCTCCTTTTCCGATTGATCCTTTCCTGCCACGAGAGAATCCGAGAGCCTGTTTTATCAACTCACACAGTAAGCCTTCCTCTGTAATTATCATCAAAATATATTACATATAGATGAATTTTTATTTCTTTTTAATGTTTCAATAGTTGTATTGATTTTTCATCCACTATCTTCTACTGTAGGAATATTCCGAAGCACCACAATATCCGACGGCAGTCCATCCAAATCTCGTATCGGAAAAGATTGTGAAGACAAAGCTTGTCGTAGCGGTTCCTTCAAACTCAACGTTGACGAAGAAGAAGAAGATGACGCAGAAGCATATGAAAAACTCGAGGCCGATGTTTTAGCACTAATGCCAAACCTACCAAACGGTGATTACTACACGGAACCTTCTATAAAGGATCTGGCAGCAAAGGAAATATCCGAACCGGGATTCTGCAGCCGAGTGAACGATTTTGTAGTGGGGAGAAAAGGGTACGGAAGCATCAAATTTCTTGGAGAAACCGATATCCGAATTCTCGATATTGAATCTGTTATCTGTTTCAATAACCGAGAAGTGCTTGTTTATCCGGACGCTAGTAAAATGCCGCCAGCTGGCAAAAGCCTGAACAAGCCAGCAGAGATTACTCTAATGAATGTGAAATGCATTAGTAAAAAGACGGGAAAGGAGTACGTTGACGGTGCTGAGGCTCGAAGTTACGAAGAGATGCTTAGAAAGAAGACCTCGAAATATGGAGCTGAGTTTGTTTCGTTTGATCCAGTTTTAGGGGAGTGGAAATTTAGGGTTCAACACTTTTAGTTAGCCTTTTTTATTTTTTTTTGATTCAGTCTTAGGAATTTTAGTTTGTGAATTTCCACTTTTAGAGGCTTTAGTTAGCAAAGTGTTGCGATGTTTATAAAGAAAACCTTTTTTGTCTTTGACTATATATACTAATGTTGTACATCCTCTTCATTTTCTAGTAGTAATTTTACTTGTTTGGTCTTAAATTTGGTGAATTTTATGAGGGTAGTATGTGTGACACCCTTCAAATCAGATCTAATTAGATACGAATGATAATTTCAAGTAGAATATTTTACCTACATTCCTATTTTCAAACGAAAAATTGATACACATCCTTCGATTTTTATTTAAACCGAAAACACCTTTACAATAACTAATAAAAATTAAAAAATTTGTCAATAAATTTGTCATGAAATTTAAAAATAGAGGCTTCTACTTATAGTAAACATTTTTTGGATCACTTATTTTGATGGATTAAAAAAAAAAAATAATTGATGAAAGAAATCGACCTAGAAAAGTATCACAAACCCATAATAATGTGGGTCCGCCATACACACGAAATTTAGTCGATACTTGTGTCTTAGTTATGCTCGTAACCCTGTAAACTCATTTTTATTTTTTACAATACAATTCCCTGACAAAATAAAATCGTCGAAAACATACATGAAAAATGGTTTGAAAAATAAGATGAGATGTGTGTTAGACTTTGATTTTTTGGCTATGCGATGTATTTGATGGTAAGTACAAGGCCTGGCATTGTTTATATTGTGAGATGTTTAAGTATATACATGTTTAATCCATATTTACCTTATTGGGAGGCTCTAATATAACTTCTTATATTTGAAAGGATCTTTCAAAATTGGAACAAATTTTGCTAAGTATGTTTAGATTGAATTGTGTGGTTATGTTGACTATAATTATGCTAATAATAGAGATAATAGAAAATCAACTACTTCCTATTTGTTTATTTTGTGTGGTTTATGCATTAGTTCGAAACCTCAATTACAGAATATTGTTGCATTCTTTATTACTGAATCTGAATATATTACTGCAACTGAGACTTTAAAAGAATCAATTTGGCTTAAAGGGTCTTCTCTTCCGAAATGGTTTTATAAAGGAAAAATTAGTTGTTCGTTCTGATATTCAATCTGCAATTTAGCTAGGTGAAAATCATGTTTTTCATGATAGAATCAAATATATTGATGTTAGATTCCACTTTATTCTAGATATGTAGAAAAATGGTTTTTGGTTTTGAAAAAATCCCATGATTAAGTTCAGTAGATATGAGAACTAAATATTTATCAATGAAAACCTTGAACATAATTTCATAAGGAGATAAAATTAACTATGTGAACTGGCGCGAATGGCGTACCTAAAACTGCAATCTATGTGATTACAACCTGCTTGTGTATGTAATTGTCTTAGTGACTATAGCATTTTGATCCGGACTAATTTGAGCATAGAGGAAAGACCCAAGCCCAACTAAATGAAACATAGATGGTCAGGGCTGACTTGGGCCCATAGGGAGAGCCCAAGTAAAATTGAAGGGAAGCCCAATACCGTAAAAACCACAATAGACCGCAAAGGGTAATTAGCGAAGTGTAAAACCTACGAAATAGGCTCACGAGGTAATTCTACGCCTGACGAAGTAAGCATTACGTCGGCATCTCGAAAGTCGTGCAGGGGACAATTCTGGGAAGTAAAAGATGGGTGTCAGGCCTGAACTGACCGAAGAACAGTAAAAAGGACCAATAAGAATTCGCCACGTGGCAGAATAGACATGATGACGGCTTTTGTACCTAGGAAATGTAAACAAGCCCAGAAGGGCCCATATTGTAGTAGTATATATACTAGGTCATAAGTAGTGAAAGTGGGGGTTTTTCGGAGAGAATGAATTCAATAAACTGGACCATCCATATACATTGTCCTATGCACGTTATCTTACACATATTAATTAATAAGTCTTTCTTATTCGCATTATTTAGTGATCTTATAAACATCCAAGGTATGAACATTCAAACCTATCATACGATCTAATCATCTATTGAATAAAACATAAAGGGAAAACCTATTGTATGTGGCTAGTTTTAAGCTCATCACATTTGCTCTTTGTCTTACTTGTATGCATGTACTAAAAAGGGGAATGATGAACCATAATTCAAAAATATCGAAAAATCTAATTTGGTTCAAGGTGGAGAATTATAAGGTTTTTGGCCCAAGTGATTTATTAATTTTGGAATTTGCCCAATTTCTAAACCTATCAGAGCAGTCGGAGTCAGTCCAATTAGTCTACTTAACTCCAGACTTTAGGAAAAGTTTCTGGACTTCAATCTTGATTATCCATCTTGAACAATCAATATTAATCGTCCAACACGTCAATATATATATATATATATATATATATATATATATATATATATATATATATATATATATTAGCTTATTCTTCTCATTTGACCTAAACCTAGTCTGTTCTCTTTCTTTGCCCCCCTTTTGTACATGTGTCCTTCTGATGACTTCATTTGTCTTCTTCCGACGACAATCAGTTAAATGCCACCAATCATAGGTGACCTTGACTTTGAGATGGTTAATCCGTCGATGATTGTATTCCAGGCTATAAATACATGTCTCTGTGAGAAAGAACGGGTATCACACATACCGGTCCTTCTTCAGTGTGTGATAGATACACTGTCTTTGAGGAAAAAAAGTTGAGTGATTTTGAGGGTGTTCAAGTGAAGGGATCGGGGTGTGAGATTAGATCTAGGGTTTCGGATTTGGACCGTTGGTGAGCTGAATGTCAGTCTATGTGTTTTGACATCTTTGTAAGTTGCCATCATTTTTATTTCTAGACGTGGATTGGATTATTGGGAGACTGAGCCGTTGCTGAACAATAACAATTGCATGTGTTGTAATTGCTTTTATGGCAGCACCATATTTTTGACGTTTTTACCCTCAATTTCCTATATTTATATCTATACACACACGTCTTTATATACATAAGCTCATTAAAATACAAAAAAAAATATATTAAATCATATTACCAACAAATTCACGAAATTAAACAAAGATTCCTTCTTTTTTTTTTCTGTTCACAAACATAATATTAAATCCTATAAATCATGATAATACTGTAATGTAGTGTTGGAAATAAAAACATACTTAATTATGAAAAAGAAAAAAAGAAACCAACCATCTTATGCTTTCTCTTCTCCGACGGCTTATGTCTTCTCCAGTTCAAGCGCATCAATCGCTAATTATGCCTCCCAAATAGCGAAATCAATTCTCCAACGACTCTATCCCCCAACGACTCTCCAATTTTACCATTCGGGAACCCTTGAAATCTTTTGGCAGAAGTCGGGCCGGCGGGGGGTTTCATTTTCAATTTAATGAGGGGGCGGAGCGAACGACGTCGCTGAAGGTGTTGAATTAAGAAGATATTTGGGGAATCGATGGCTGAGTGAAAGAGGTTTTGATCCCTGCTACAACCTCACAACAAGGGCGTCGTTGTTGTTCTCCCGGGCCTAGGTTGGAGGTGGACGTCTGCGATTTCACCATGGAGGAGATATGTGGGGCCACCTTAGCCGACCTTCGGGGAGTGGAGCTGAACTCAGTTGACGGGTGAAGAAAGATAGTGACGGTCGGAGGAAATGTTGCCGAGAAGAGGCAATCCGGCAAAACAAAAAACAAGAACAAGAGAGAGAAAGTGGTCGGCAAGTAAATTAATCTATTATTTAAAGTTTGAGGATAAATAATTAAATGAATAGGGATGGCAATGGGTACGGGTTTGGCGGGTCTTGGACCCGGAACCGACCCTTTGGGGCAGGTCTGGGTCAGCTAAATGGGGATGGCAATGGGTACGGGTTTGGCAGGTCTTGGACCCGGAACCGACCCATTTGGGGCGGGTCTGGATCAGCTAAATGGTTCTGGGTCGGGTAATGGGTTTAAGTGTTTAGAACCGGATGGTTCTGGGTCGGGTTACGGGTCTTATTGGAACCGACCCAGAACCGACCCGTATATATATATATATATATATATATATATATATATATATGTTGTAAATAATATGTGTGTGTGGGGTTTCCTAATATAATCACCCAACTCCCCACTAGATCACTAACCTACCCATGTCTTCCCATTATGTGTTAGTGGTAGAGTAACTTATTTTGTAACTTCTCTTGTAACTCCCGGTGGTTTTTCACCTATATAATGGAATTCTCCCTCCCCCATATTTACACCCTTATTATTCTCTCTACGGATTTTTGTCTTTGTCATACTTTATTTTCCACAATCATCAAACCCAAAAGCAATACAATTAAGGCGATTTACAACACGTTATCAGCACGAATTGCTCGCGGTGATCGTGGAAGAACAATTGTTCGTGGGGCTAGAATACTTGGAGAAATTGTGAGCGTGGTTCGTTTGTAAGACGGTGATCTACTTTCGTAGAACGTATAATCTTCTCTGTAATATCTGAATTTTATCAATTTTCAAGTAAGCCTTAACCCCTTGAAATCCCTTATTATATGAATGCATGCTAGATAAATTCGAATTAGCATGAAAAGTTGTGTAGCATATTTATTTGGTGTCATTTGATATTTGTTTGAAAATCTCGGTTGATGTTTCGAGTACTGTATGATTCATGAATAGATTGTTATATGAATTGTACTTTGTTGGTGAATGAAGATAAGAAGTTTATGAATTAATCTGTTTGTCAAGATGAGTAATATGTAATATTCTTGTAGAATGATTTCACTATGAATATTCTGCGTACATGTTTGGACATTTAATGTTATATGACCAGTGAATAAAATCATCCATGTGAATATTCTGTGTGCATGAAACAATCGGTTTGTCTAATAATCATGAACTGGTTGAAATATATGTGAATTCTATGCGAGTCATATATGCTATATGTGGTTGTATCACGTCATATGCAAATTTCATGACATAAAAGTAATATACAATAATTTGATTCGCATGTATTCTCTGTCTATGTACGATAGGATGGAACATTTGAGCAAACTTGATTTCACCCATTTGAATGTATCTGGTGAGAACTATGTGAGTTGGACAATGGATGTTAAGATCCATCTCACTAGTAAGAAATTGAGGATGGCAATCGTTAAGGAAAATCTGCTTAACGAAGCCCAGAAGGCTGAAGCCATGATTCTGATTAGGAGGCACCTAGATGAGGTCCTCCGTTTGGACTACTCATCGATTGAGGATCCCCAAATACTATGGGATGCCCTGGCTAGCCGATTTGATCACCAAAAGACAATCCTCTTGCCTGAAGCAAGAAATAAATGGATTTACTTACGGTTTATGGACTTCAAAACCGTTAACGAGTATAACTCTGAGGTATGTCGCATCAAATCCACCCTGGAGTTTTGTGGAGAGAAACTAACTGATGCGGAGATTCTAGAGAAGACGTACTCTACATTCCCTGCCTCACATATGATACTGTCTCAACAGTACAGAGCCAAGAACTATACTCAGTTTTCAGAGTTGGTCACAGTTCTGCTCCTTGCCGAGAAGAACCTTGATCTTCTTTTGAAGAACAACCAGGCTCGACCAGTTGGTACTCGACCTTTGCCATAAGCAAATTTGGTCAATCGAAATCCTCAACCTTTGCCAGAAGCAAATTTGGTCAACAGAAACAATCGTGGTGGAGGCAGAGGCCGTGGGTTCAATCGTCGAGTGAGGGGAAGAGGTAATAGGGGCGGACATGTTCCTTATAATAGGCCACCTAATGGTCCCCCACAGTATGGGCAAATGGGGAATATGCCAAGAGGAGGTAACAATGCTCGACCTAGAGGTGCGCAGCAGAATAGAGCCCCGAATCAGAATCAAAATCAGAATAGAGATACATGTCATAGGTGTGGTGGAACTGGGCATTGGTCACGCACCTGTCGTGCGAGGAACGTTATGGTTGGTGGTGTAAATAACAATGCACCACCGGAGACCAACCTGGTTGAGATAGACGTTCTCAATGAGGAGCCCATTGCTCGACTCCCAAATCTGGGCACATCTGACCCAATGACCCAGTTTGGAATATGATTAGAATGTTATTTTATGAGTTTAGACATTATGTTCTTTTATGTTTCTAGTTTATCAGTTTTAAGTTATGTTGTTTATTTGGTCATGCTTATGAACCAATTTCGTATTTGGATTATGTTTGTGCTTTATTTTCTGGACTATATTTTATGTGGTTATGTTTTAATTCAGTTTTTATGGTACTCGGTAGAGTTATCTTGTTTGGATTTTTATTAAAGTATTTTCAATTGCGGAATATATGATTAGATTTATTTATCTTTCTAGACATGGCATGTGGGGATGAATGTCTGGCAGATAGTGCGACAACGCACACTATCCTTAGGGATAAGTCATATTTTGTAAGTTTCATGTCTAGTAAGACTTCTTTGACTACTATATCAGGCACATCTAGTATAATAGATGGTTATGGTAATTCCCATATTATGTTACCTCATGGCACAATTCTGACCATTAGAGAAGCTCTTTATTCTCCACGTTCCAGTAGAACGCTGTTGAGTTTTAAAGATATTCGAGCCAATGGTTATCATGTTGAAACAACCGATGAAAAGGGGATCGAATATATGTGCATCACCTCTAACGTGTATGGCCAGAAGCGTACCTTGGAAAAATTAGAGGGACTTTCGATAGGGTTATATAGAACCAGAATTCGAGTGCCAGAAGCACACCTTGTCGATTGCTCGAAGTCTAGTGATCCGAGCAAATATTTTCTATGGCATGACAGACTGGGACATCCGGGTCAAAGTGTGATGCGCCGAATTATTAACACATCTATTGGGCATCCACTAACGAATAAGGATCTTGTACACAATGATAAGATATGTGTACCTTGTTCTATTGGAAAACTTGATCCTATGCCAGCTTATGCACAAACTAGTAAAGATTCTCTTGGTTTCTTGGAACGAATCCAAGGAGATATATGTGGCCCCATCTCACCACCATGTGGACCTTTTAAATATTTTTTGGTGATGGTTGATGCTTCGACTAAGTGGTCACATGTCGATTTGTTGTCGACGAGGAATGCTGCTTATGCTAAACTCCTCTCTCAAATAATAAGATTGAGAGCACACTATCCAGATTATCCCATTAAGTCTATTCGACTGGATAATGCTGCAGAGTTTACGTCGCGGTCTTTCGACGAATATTGCATGTCTTTAGGTATTGACATAGAACATCCTGTAGCGCATGTTCATACCCAAAATGGCCTTGCAGAGGCATTTATTAAAAATTTACAGAGGATTGCACGAACTTTGGTAATGCGCACCAAACTTCCAATCTCTGCTTGGGGCTATGCAATATTGCACGCAGCTATGTTATTACGATTGAGGCCCACTGCAACCCAACCATATTCTGCGTTACAGTTGGTGTCCGGAAGTACACCAAACGTTTCTCATTTACGCACATTTAGGTGTGCAGTTTATGTGCCGATTGCTCCGCCACAACGGACCAAGATGGGACCTCAACGTAGATTGGGCATTTATGTTGGTTACATATCACCATCTATAATACGATATTTAGAACCCTTGACAGGCGATCTCTTTACCGCTCGATTCGTGGACTGTCACTTTGATGAGACCGTCTTCCCGCCGTTAGGGGGGGGAAAGAACATTCACACTAACGTTCCTGAAGAACGGCGTGAAGTTGTATGGAATGACCCCACTGTGTCTCATCATGATCCCCCCACTTCAGTCAGAGAGTTTGAAGTACGTAGACTCATAGATCTACAGAAAGTAGCCAATAATATGCCAGACTCATTCTCTGACTTAGAAAAAGTGACGAGATCTCATATACCAGCTGCAAACGTGCCTGCAAGGATAGATGTCCCAGAAGGACAAAACGTGGGAAGGCCATCAGTCCCTGCTAACCAATCATATCTCCCTGCCCAGAAGAGGGGGAGACCAATTGGATCAAAGGATTCTCATCCCCGGAAGCGGATGAATGCCCAACAGTTGAATGAGGTTAGCAATAGCAATAATGGGATCCCACCCGATCCATCTCATGAAATAGTTCCGGACTATGGATCCGTCTTGGAGACGAAATCGGGGGACGCCTCGACATTAGTATCTATTCCCGAGAATAGAGAAATCTCGGTTAGTTATTCATGCATGAATGAGGTGTGGCATCGGGATGAAATAATCATCAATGATGTGTTTTCTTACACAGTAGCTACTGAAATTGTATCGAGTGATGATATTGAGCCTCGATCAATTGATGAATGTAAACAGAGGGATGATTGGCCGAATTGGGAAAAAGCAATCCAGGCTGAGTTTGACTCATTGGTAAAAAGGGGAGTGTTTGGGCCGGTAGCTCCTACACCTCATGGAGTTATACCCGTGGGATATAAATGGGTATTCATAAGGAAAAGAAATGAGAAAAACGAGATTATGAGATATAAGGCGCGTCTCGTAGCACAAGGATTTTCTCAGCGACCTGGGATTGACTTTGAGGAGACATATTCTCCTGTTATGGATGTTATTACATTCAGATATCTAGTCAGTTTGGTTGTATCCGAGGAACTGACTATGCAGCTCATGGATGTGGTCACAGCTTATCTATATGGGGATCTAGATACAAGTATATATATGAAAGTTCCTGAAGGACTTCGATTACCCGAAGCAATTAGTTCCAGACCACGGAACACGATCTCAGTTAAGTTGAGACGATCACTTTATGGCTTGAAACAATCTGGAAGAATGTGGTATAATCGCCTAAGTGAATACTTGCTCGGAAGGGGATACGTGAACAATGATATTTGTCCTTGCGTGTTTATTAAGAAAACATGTTCTGGGTTTGCTGTTGTAGCAGTTTATGTTGATGATATGAATTTGATTGGGACTCCTGAAGAAGTCCGTGAAACAGCCCAACTCCTAAAACATGAGTTTGAGATGAAAGATCTCGGTAGGACTAATTTCTGTCTCGGACTTGAGATAGTACACCGAGCTGATGGAATTTTGGTCCATCAATCAAACTACATCCAGAAGATGTTAAGACGCTTTAATATGGATAAAGCGAAACCATCGAGCACACCTATGGTAGTCCGATCATTGGATAGGTCGAAGTATCCGTTCCGTCCTGTGGAGGAGGACGAAGAAGTGTTAGCACCTGAAGTGCCGTACCTAAGTGCAATAGGCGCAATATTGTACTTAGCTCAATGTACTCGACCTGATATCGCATTTGCGATAAATTTGCTAGCAAGGTTTAGCTCAGCACCAACACGCCGCCATTGGAATGGTGTAAAGGACGTATTTCGTTACCTTAAGGGTTCAATAGACATGGGTTTGTTCTATCCCTATGCATCATTAAAGGATGCAAAGCTTGTGGGTTATGCTGACGCTGGGTATCTGTCAGACCCACACAAAGCTCGTTCCCAAACTGGATATGTGTTTACCATTGGGAACACAGCTGTGTCTTGGAGGTCTACAAAACAGACCTTAGTTGCCACCTCATCGAATCATGCAGAGATTTTAGCACTTCACGAGGCAGTGCGTGAATGTACATGGCTTAGAGCCATGAATGGGCATATTCGAGATTCCTGTGGATTGGCTACCACAGAAGATCCTACGATCATATTCGAGGATAATGCAGCGTGCATTGAGCAAATGAAGACGGGCTTCATTAAAGGTGACAACACCAAGCATATAGCTCCAAAGTTTTTCTTCAATCAGCAACAACAAGAGCTCAAACAAATAATGATCCAGCAGATCAGAAGTCAAGATAATTGCGCTGATTTATTTACTAAGTCATTACCTAAAGTCACTTTTGAAAAGCATGTTAAGGCTATTGGCCTGCGTAGATTATCTGAGCTCGCTCCCTTATAGACATCAGGGGGAGTTAACTTGAGGGGGAGTACCCTGTAGGTACTCAGTATCCAGAAGATACCTAGATGCCCTATTGTACTCTTTTTCCTTTTTTGCGGGATTTATTTTCCCACAGGGTTTTTGGTTACCCGCTAAAGGTTTTAACGAGGCAATATAGCTGATTGGAAAGATTGTGCGTTGTACTCTATTTCCTAACCGAGGTTGTTTTGTCCCACTGGGTTTTATTACTCGGAAGGTTTTAATGAGGCAACATGAACTGCACAATAGTGGTTTTGATAGGAACCCCCAAGGGGGAGTGTTGTAAATAATATGTGTGTGTGGGGTTTCCTAATATAACCACCCAACTCCCCACTAGATCACTAACCTACCCATGTCTTCCCATTATGTGTTAGTGGTAGAGTAACTTATTTTGTAACTTCTCTTGTAACTCCCGGTGGTTTTTCACCTATATAATGGAATTCTCCCTCCCCCATATTTACACCCTTATTATTCTCTCTACGGATTTTTTTCTTTGTCATACTTTATTTTCCACAATCATCAAACCCAAAAGCAATACAATTAAGGCGATTTACAACAATACATATATATATATATATATATATATATATATATATATATATATATATATATATATATATATATATATATATATATATATATATATATATATATATATATATATATATATATATATATATATATATATATATATATATATATATATATATATATATATATATATATATATATATATATATAATTTCAGGTTTCATTTATCAAACTATCAATTTCCATCTTGTCTATTCTCATTTACCTATTTTCACTATTTTATTTTTCGAATTTTATTTTTCGTGAGTAATATTTATCACTTGTCAACCACCGCTAATTGTCTTGCATTTTGAATTTTACTTATTATCGAAGTTAAATATAATTAATTGTAATTTTATTGTTCATGTTATGTCACTACACGAGTTTTTAAAATATTGTATTTTAGTATTGAGATTATTTCGTAAAAATATACTAGCAAAATGTTATGAAAGTTAAAAAATATTAAACTTTTTGTATGTTAATGGGTCTAGCGGATCTGGCAGGTCAGAACCGTTTAGTTAGGGTCTGGGTTGGGGCGGGATTTGGGTCTAAGCTAAAGCGGGTTGGGGCGGGTCTTAGATTTATATATTTTTCGTGGGTCGGGTCTTGGGTTTATGCAAACCCGACCCAGAACCGACCCGTTGCCATCCCTATAAATGAACAACAAAACTAACAGTGTTAGTTTTATAAACGTGGACCAGAAATTACAAAGGTCGTTTTGGTACATTTTGTAGTTTAGGGAGGTGTTTGTGACAGACTCCATAATTCAGGGGTGCAAACTGTACTTTCCCCTTTATTTAAACGGTACCAAAATTATGTGGTTTGGTTTGGTAACTAAATGGTTTTTTTCCAAAATTTATTAAAACAAATTAAAATTTTGATTTTTTAATTAATTTTTATATATTTTAGTATAAAAATAATATATTTTATTATAAATATTAATATTACATATATAAATATATAAATATATAAATAAAATAATAAATAAAAATAAAATCTCGGTATTCGGTAAAACTGAATTAACGGAATTTTGGAAACAAAAAAACCGAATACCAAATCGAATTACCGATTCGATATTCGACACATACCCAATTTCCGATCCGATTTGGTTCCGTCGGTTTACAGACCGAACGAACACCCTTATCAATACTTAGAGTATAATCTGTAATACTTAATCCATTTTCCCATAGATTATTCTGTGTAATAGTTTATTCAATTTGGTATTGTAAGACCCTTATGTAATATTCAAACGAATACTCAACGTTACCCTATGTACCCCATGCCATACTCAGAGACTTGCATTGGCCTTGGGGGCAATTTTGTCAATAAACAATTATTTAAACATTTCGTGGCGTGCAAAAGGGCATTTCAGAAATCATGCATCTTGTATAAACAAAATAATAAATGATGCATGTTTTTGTTTACACCAAAAATACTCCCTAAACGTGGGTATCAATGGGGTATCAATATTGTCAAAGTCAAAGTCAAGAGTAATTACCAAATGTAAATTTTATATTAAAATTTTTTTGAGTAATAATAAATATTTATTGTTAAACCTATTTTTACTACCTTAAGTTGTATTACAATTCAACGGTATATTCTATGCTACACCAGGTGAAATACATCGAGTAGATGTTTACCATTTATATATACATAAACCCACACTCACTCACATTAAATTATGGATCAACGGTTACAAATCACCCGATGTAGTCTTCACCGGGTGTAACATAGAAATAATCACAATTCAACTTAGAGAAATGATAAGACTTGATATGGTTGTATTTATTACACATATTAAAATTGATAAAACTATGCTAAGTTTCATATGCATTTTGAAATTCCGATGTTCGGTTTTTCTAACATTATTTGGAACGGAAATGGCATATATGAAATTCCGATTTCGATCAGAATTAAGTTCCGAAAATAATTTCGAAATTTCCGAATCTTTTTCCGCATATTACACTTAAAATACGAACATCGTTATGTATTTTATATTTTAGGTGACTAAAAATTGGAATTTCCAAATTCTGCCGATTTCGATCCAAATGTTTCCAATATTAGAACAAGTATTTATGTTCCAATTTCCAAATTTTGATTTTTTCGGAACATAATTAGAACTAGTGTTTCACCTAGAAAAAAAATCAGAATTTCTTCAAAAAAAACTAATTTCGATCCGATCTTACCGATTTACGCCCCTAATCCTAATACATGAATTTCAAAATAAGTTTGTGGGTGAATTGACTGGCTGCCAACAACATAACGCACCAACTGATGGATGCATTAAAATCAACTCCATCATTATCTTTCTAAATGACCTACATATAAAACTTTGATTAAATAGTTGCCATTTTATTCATTATTATAAACTAGTTATGGGTCAAATCACGTGCACGGCACGAAGGCCCCCCCTAATATTTTTTCTTTTTCTTAATATTTTTTCCCTGCAAAGTAAAAACAACCCAAAATAAAGGCCTAATTATCTGTTCCAATGGGCCTGCACCTTCGTAGTCATCCCTTATGCTCTACGATGGCATGTTTCGTGCTTTAAAAATAGGGTAAAATTCATTTTGCACCTCTGTAGTATACGAAATATATTATTTACCCCATGATATACAGAAAATATCAAACGCCTCCCTATTTTTGACGGTTAATGATAAAACATTTAACGGTGTTAAAATTTGAGTGTGTAATGACTATTTTACCCCGCTTCAATTCAAATGAACTTAGAAGGTTATGGATACGATTTTAAGTAAAAATGAGGCGTATTTTTTGTGGATTGTTGACGATTTTTAGCGTTCAAATTATGGAGTTTTTTTCTCAATTTTAGTATTTGACTTTGGGGTTTTTGCGATAAATATGAAAACTTTTGTTTTTAATTTGTAATTTTTTCAAAATAATTAGGGTTTCATTTCAATTTTAATGTTTCTTTTAGATTTTAGGGATTTTCATTTTTCATGTTTTTTTTTTGTTTTTTTTTTTTGTTTTTTTACAAAATAGAAAGGGTCTGAAAAGAGTTAAAAATAACTGAAAATTTGGGGGAAAAAAGGTCCGTAAATAGCAAAAAATTGATGAAAAATGGTCAAAACTAAGCATATAAATTTTTCGTGGTGTAATCTTAAAAAAAAAAAAAAGACAACAACTCTTTAAAACCACTGGTCAAAGGGTTTGACTAACGGAATCAGAAAAAAGCTTAACAGTAGGGGGCGTTTGATATTTTATATACATTAGGGGGTCAATAATATATTTCAAATAGTACAGTGATGCAAAATGAGTTTTACCCTTAAAAAAAAAAAAAAAAAAAAAAAAGGTAAACTCCACTTTCCCCCTTTGTACTTTGGCTCGATCACTTTACCTCCTTCTACTTTCAATTGCATCAGTTTGCCCCATTGTACTTTGGCTCGATATCACTTTACCCACTTCTACTCTCAGATGCATCGATTTGTCCCCTTGTACTTTGGCTCGATATCGCTTTAACCCCTTCTACTCTCAATTGCATCGATTTGCCCCTATGTACTTGAAAAATTGTCTCAATGTGGCCATCGCCGTTAGTTTTCACACATTTGACCTTAGCACCGTTTGATCTAAGTTTGAAAATTACCAAAAAGCCACCCCTCGCAGTTTAAATAATTATTGAAAACATTAAAAAAATAAATAAAAACGTGGCTCGCGTCGTGGACTATATTTTCTCGTTGTCTTGATTTTTTTTTTATTTTTTATTATTTTTTTTATTTTTTAGTTTATTTATTATTTATTTATTTTATTTTTTGATTTTTTTCAATAATTATTTAAACTATGAGGGGTGGCTTTTTTGTAATTTTCAAACTTAAATCAAACGGTGTTAAGGTCAAATGTGTGAAAACTAACGGCGAGGGCCACATTGAGACAATTTTTCAAGTACATGAGGGCAAATCGATGATGCAATTGAGAGTAGAAAGGGGTAAAGTGATACCGAGCCAAAGTACAGGGGGCAAATCGATACAATTGAGAGTAGAATGAGGTAAAGTGATACTGAGCCAAAGTACAAGAGGGCAAATCAATACAATTGAGAGTAGAATGGGATGGATTTTACTCAATAAAAAATGCACCCCCAACCTAAACCCACACCAACAAAAATAAATTATTATTTTATTTAATTTTTTAAATAGATCAAAGAACTTGAGATCTTCTTTGTTGAATCTTGGAATTATAAATAGTCGACCCACTTTCCTCTTTCTCCTTAATTTAATTTAATTTAATTTGTCCCATACAAACTTTCTTTCTTTCTAGTATCTCCCAACTCCTTGCTTTCTTCTTTGCTCATTATTACAAGCTTTTCAACTTATAACATATTATTATAATTCCTTAATATTTCCGAACATGGCTGCCGTTTATGGAGTGGTGTTAGTAATGGCGGCGGCTGCAGTGGTGTTATGCGGGGGCGGCGGAGCTTATGCCGATCCAGATATGCTTCAAGATATCTGCGTTGCTGATCTCACTTCTGGTAATTAAATTAACTTAAATTAATTCTCTCAACTTTATCTTTTTCTCTTTTAATGGCCGCTGTATATATATATATATATATATATATATATATATAGAGAGAGAGAGAGAGAGAGAGAGAGTGTGATACTTATCATTTAAGCTCCATGAATATTTTGATTTTAATCCATTTTCTTGGCATAATAGGATAGTTTTTGCTAATGTTGAAAAAATATGGGGGCTTTTTAGCAATTTGAAATAAAATGGAGGGTTTCCTTATAATTAACTGATAACTGCATTAATGCTCAAACTTGCCCCACTACCTAACTACATACTGCTAAAAGTAAAACTCATCTCTTTTGATCAAAACATATCCAGTTGTCTTTAGACCAAGTGCATTAAATTCCTCCTTTGTTCAAACACTCATTAATTATTTGCATTTATTTTATTATTGCTATAATAATTTCAATAGAAGCTATACTAGAATTCCTCCACGCGGTAATATACAGTTAAACCTTTATATATTAATACAGTCGGGATTAGTAAAATTCTATTAATTTAGGCGAAATATTAAATTATCGAACTAATAATTTAGTAGGTTTTTATCGAGTCGGACCAGAAGAAACTATTATTTAAGCGAGGTTATTAATTTATCGAGTATTAATTTGTCGAGGTTCTCTAGTGTATATAAGTCCAATGCAAATTAAATATCTGTTTGGTCATGTCATAAAAAAATTTGTTGTAGCTGTGAAGATCAACGGTTTCCCTTGCAAATCGAATGTTACGTCAGACGATTTCTTTTCTGACGTTCTGGCGAAAGCGGGCCCCACAAACAACTCCGTGGGGTCATTAGTCACGGGGGCCAACATCCAGAAGATTCCGGGCCTCAACACGCTCGGCGTGTCGCTCTCGCGCATCGACTACGCGCCGGGGGGCCTAAACCCCCCGCACACGCACCCGCGCGCCACGGAGGTCGTTTTCGTCCTAGAAGGGGAACTTGACGTGGGCTTCATCACAACCGGAAACGTGCTCTTCTCAAAGTCGATCAAGAAGGGAGACGTCTTCGCTTTCCCAAAGGGGCTCGTGCACTTCCAGAAGAACAACGGCAATACCAATGCGGCCGTGATTTCCGCCTTTAACAGCCAGTTGCCGGGGACTCAGTCGATTGCCGCCACTTTGTTTGCGGCTAATCCGGCGGTGCCGGATAATGTTTTGACGAAGGCGTTTCAGATCGGGACCAAGGAGGTGGAGAAGATCAAGTCCAAGTTTGCACCCAAGAAATGATCAATGAATTAAGAAAAAGAAATGAAAGTTGATTACTTTGTTGTGTTTGTGGGGTGATGATTTGATTTTATTTGATTTGTTTATGTAACACATGCATGTAGGGGAGTTTTCTTTCTTATGATGTAATAAAATGTAAAATTTGGATGTCTTGAAACAACAATATTGTAGGTTGATATACAATATATAATTTACTTTTAGGGTTTTTATTTAATATAAAAATATTTATTTTTACAATTACAGCACACATATTCATCTATTTTAGAATAAGGTTGCTTTTTTGGATGAAATAAAAACCAAATAATAAAAAATAAAAAATGAATTGATCAAAACTCGAGTCCAAGTTCGAGCTGTTTTCGAGCTGGCTCGGCTCGCTAACCACCCCTAGCCTAGAGTACCAATGACTATTAAAAAAAAATCAAAACGTTAGATTTTGTTATTATTTAAAATATTCTAAAATATTACATTATGCTCTGAGGTATGATATAATAACTTTAATTATCAATACCACATGAACTTTAAAGTTATTACAGCAAACCTCAGGAGGGATCGGTTGTAATTTAACAAAATTATTAGTTTCAAAAGCAAAAAGATTCCTTTCACTTGGGAGTGGTCGACATATGTGAAAACAGATTTTTGTGACATTATTTTATCTCCAAGGATTTTAGTATACTATCCTGAACTGACTCTACTTCTTTAGTTAACAGTTTCAATTATTTTCGAAATTCGAATAATCTGTTTAATTGGTCTACATAATAAAGGACGAGTGACCATGCTGAGTCGTAGAACATCTATTTTGATTTCCCATTTAAAATAGAAGAGGAGCGGAGACAAACAATCAGTCATTAATATTTAATACTCTAAATTATCTTGATTTGCATCTAATATGTGATTAAAAGTGGAGTGGGTATATTATTTGATTAATTCAGATGCATTTGTTATAATTGGATTGGTTAGAATAAATGGGTTGGTACCTTGTGGGTCTCTTTTATGATTCAGGGAATCTATGTCTATTAAAGGTTTATAGTTGCAGACGTGCCGTCTACAAGCGGAACCAGGATTTAAAATTCGGGGCCGAATGCATTAAAAAATTCTGGGGAAGGGGGAGTTTAATGATATTATAGACGATTTTTTTTCTTTTTTAATATCTATGTATAAATATAATAGGGATTCGAGAGATGTTGGGGGGGCGTGGCCCCCCTGGCTGATTGCTGGCTCTGCCGATGAGTTGCACGTTTATTCGATGAACTCTGGCAATAGTTTCGATTTCATACTAAGAAACATACATCTACAACAATTTCATAACATCTTCGTCTTATGTACACAATCTTACATTGTGCTTTGAAATTTTTTAAAACAATTATTGACTCTGATCTGCATACAATCCCAGTCTTGTAGAAAATTACACTGAATAAAACACTTGCCAAAACCTTTTTTTTTCTTGTTGTTTGATGATTTTGGGTTAGTAATAAATCGAAGGTCGTTCGTGAAAGAGATGATTTGAATTTGAAGAGGGTGCTTCGCAAAATAATTTCGATGCACTTGTAAGAATTTGAAATTCATCAGAATAATTAAAACACAAATCAACCCGAAGCAAGAGTTCCATGATTCAAAATCTATGTACCACGACAACAATTTATCCAACCTCAATGAATTTAACCAAACTTGATTGATTTTATTAATAAATTTAACCCTACCGGAAACGAAAATAATTTACATATTAGCATTGAATATAATGGAAGCCAGAAATGAAAGTCCTAAACACCATAATTCCTTTCGATTAATTGCTTCACAGAGTCAAGTAGAAATCCTTTCTTTGTCACATACTCAAAAAGCAACAACCCCATTAACTTGCAAACAAAGCAGATTCAAAAGTATACGCCTAACACACTGCTTTACGCAGACACCGGAAAAAGTAAACTTGGCACAAGACCGAGAAAAGAAAAAACATTATACTGTTAACAACCAACCAAAGTCGAGAGAAAAGGGAGATGTAGATAAAACATAATAAGAAGAGTAGGTGTTTTTTCTTACTTCCCTACAGTTTGATGTTTGCCATCTGGAATTGCATACAGTACTACGGGCTTCGAAGGTCGAATGAAAGGAGCATCACATCTGTAATAACCTTTCCTCTCCAGCTGTATTACATCTCCACGGTTTAAATTCCGCATATCAGATTCCCCCACTGCTAATGTCTCTGTTCTAGTACACGGATTCACAAAAGGAACGAAATCTTCATCCTCATCCAACTGTAAATATTGAACAATTCAGATCAAATTGAATAAAATAAACACAAGTTTCAAGTAAATAAAAAAGAAGATTGGAATGAAAAAGGATCACCTTCTTCTTTGTAATAAGATAATCAAAGTCGACAAGGGACAGTTTAACAAGCTCACTGGAATCCGCCAGCCAAGTGAGCTTCAGCTTTGTATTCTTAACATTTCCTTCGAGATGCAAAACTCCTACAAGTTCGGTAACAATACCATTTTCGTCCTTCTTGATTTCTTTCACAATCGCATTACCCCAATCCTTTAAAGTCACTTCTTCATTCACCGAGATCGATTCAGCATCGGCATAATCTATCCATAATTTATTCGAGTACGTAACAGCTTTCTCTCCAGCACCTTCGAATTTCTTGTGTTTCGCCAAAATGCGAACGAAGGGAACTTTTGGGCCATCAGTTAGAATTAGCGACACCCGCTTTTCTTCAATAACAGCAGTATACCTAGGGCAAACAGGATCTATGATCTTCTTGTTGATCGCCCACAGCTTGTCCCACTCCATAAGATTGAGATTCTTCGATGCACCCTAACAATTTGGCAAAGAACATATTTTAATTCATTACATTAAAAGTAAAGCTAAATAAAATACAAAGAATTTCCTGATAAAATACAACTTACTTGTTCCAAAATGAACTGTATCAATGCTTCAATCTTCAGACCCCTTCGAACTATACCTTGGACAGTAGGAAAACGAGCATCATCCCAGCTATCAACTATTCCATTTAGAACAAACCACAGCAACTTGCGCTTACTCAAAAGTGTATAAACCATATTCAACCGACTAAATTCGTACAAATGGACCTTCCTAAAACCCATATCTGTCTGAATTCTGTAATACTGTTCATTTCGATCATGGTACTCGCTTGATCTCAGCGCATGCGTAATACCCTCAAATGCATCAACAAACGGACAACAAAAGTCGTATGTCGGATATAACTTATATTTAGATCCAATCCTATGGTGAGGAGTCAAGTTGCAACGGTAATAGACAGGATCCCTAAGTGTCTTGTTTGGATTATGCATGTCCAACTTACCTCGCACACAACACATCAAACCCCTCGGCGAACCATTTATCATTTCCTTCCACAATTTCAAGTTCTCCTCCACACTGTTATTCCTGGACTTCGACTCTATGCCATCCATCCTTTCCACCTTCATTTTCTCACGTGGAGTATCATCTACATAGGCCTTACCCTCACGGATCAACTTCTCGGCCATTTCCATGAGCTGGGGAAAGTAGTCTGATGTGTATGTTACAGCAGTGTATCTAATCCCCAAAGTCGCAATATCTATCAAAAGATTATCCACAAACTCGTTACTTTCCTTATCGGGGTTTGTGTCATCAAATCTTATAATCACCTCCCCTTTGTACCGTTCGGCGAAATACTGGTTCAAGAGTGCAGCTTTTGCGTGGCCAATATGAAGATAGCCACTCGGTTCTGGTGCAAAACGCAACTTCACTTTACCAACCACGGCATGAGGAAGATCTACCTCAAAGGTTTCATTCGCATGGACACCATTCTCCAGTGAAGCTGCCTTGGCAGGGCCTTTTTTCCCGACATATGTTGCAACAAATTCACTCAACACAGCATCATATTCAGTAGATATTGAGTTGAACCAGCGAACCAGGTTTTGGTATTTCTTAGATTTCCTTAGACTATCCCATCTCGTTCCAGCACCTAAAAAGAGAAAAACAAGCAAAAGTTTATGAAATTACTATATCATGCAAGTAACTGCGACATCAGACAACAAACCGTAGGTAAAAGTAACTGTGATCTTTGTCAGGAAGAAAGTTATTACAATATTTATAAATGGCACCACAAATTACGTCCGACTCAAAATACTTGATTAGTTGTAATCTGAGCACAATTTTGTAAACTCATAAACTTTACCTGCGAGACCAGTCCACACAGCAACATCTGCAATCGACAGGCTATTACCCACTAGAAAAGTATTTTGCAGTAAATACTCATCCACAAAACGGCATGCACCCTCAAATTCAGATCCAGACCCAAATAGAAGCGCATAATCAAGCCATTGATCAATCTGTAAGACCAAACGTGTTCGATGACAAAATTTTAGAATATCTACAAATACGTAATAATTATACATATCAGAAACTACCTTACCTCAATAACACTTTTAACAATGAAAAGAGTATGGAGAATGTACCTGACTTGACTCGTAAGCATCCCGTCCATAGAAACCAGGCAGGTTTGCTATCCTACCAATATATCTCAGAATCACAAGAGCACCATGCAGCCTCTGCCTGAAAATTGAATTACCATAGGAAACAAATTATTTTATTTTTTTCGTTTTCTGCGCAGCTAAAACAAGATAAACGCAACAATTTCATATAAACGAGAGAGAGATTGAGTACATTGAAATTTGTGTTTTAACTCCAATTTCAGTATCATAGCAATCAAAAAACCTAGGCGTAAAGGGAAAGCTGTTTATTCTCAGAGAAAACGGACATATATTAGCAATTAGTTCACCGTGAAGTCTAACCCGATTTTCCAGTCAGATTTTTTTTCTCAGCAGATCATCCAGCATATTTATTCAACAAAAAACTTAATTATAAGAAATAAATCTATGACTACGTTTAGTATAAACTTTTTATTCAGAAAATACTCCCATTGCAACCCTAGATTCACAAATTCGTTGTAAATGCAAACGAAAACAAAAACATAGGTAATCGAACATGTACACGAGTTAACGAATCGTTATAACCTAGAACCAAAATGAGAAAAAAAAAAAAAAAAATTTACCCGCTGGCAAGGGCAAGAGTGGGCGGGGATCCAGAATCCAGAGTTGGTTTGGTGACGAGAGAAATTCCTGATATTTTTGTGGCGGCGATGACATGGAGCGGCGGAGAATCGGCCGGAAAGAGGAGTTCCATCGTTGCAATCGGCTCAGCCGCCGTTTACTATACTTAGTTAAGGAAGAGAGAAATGCTCTGCTTTAATACTTCAGTGTGAATACAAGGAACGTGTGCGCACTAGGGGAAATTTGAGGAACGCTGCTCTTATATAATGACATATTTACCCTTCGATAAATCTCACAAATTATGACTTAATTCCATTTTGCGCCCTTAAAATATCGTCTTTTGGCACTTTGCACCGTCAAAAATAATTAATAGCATTTTGTACCCTCAAAATACAATAAATCATGCATAACACACCCCGAATGAATTTTAAAGCTAATGAAAATAATTTAAACTTCCATATGAGATGACGTACAGATTATGTAACTTTTTTTTTTGGTTGAGGAAACGAAATTATATTAAGCCAAATTGGCCAATTCTGGAGGAAGTTCAGGACCTCCATACAAGCACTCTTAATTTATTTCTTCAAGAACATGAATTCCTGCTCCATTTGACCTTCGGAAATGTTTTTCTGAAGGTATTGTAGTTAAGGTGGAGAGGGTGGGATTTCGGAGTAAAGATTCCAGTGGAAAATGGTGGAGATTTTTATAAATACTTTAATTAGTTTAGTGGCAGACAGTTATAAATTTGTACAAAATATAGATAAAAGACGAAGAAATCAGTAAAATAGAAAATATTTTTAATTTGGAGGTGAAATAAAATATTTTGATGTTGAAAATAGCACATCTCTTAAATTTAATTAAAAGATTAAAATTATTGATTATGCGATCAAATATGTAGGATGCATACGTATTTGACTTCGGCTCAAAATATAAATATAAACTTATAGGGATAGCTCATAAATTATTGTTTGATTATGTTCATCGTCTCTCAAACGTGACAGTAATAGGTTTTCGTTAGCAAAATTTTACACAGACAAAAATGTTACCTTTTACTTTATTTTACTTATTAAAAAAAACAATTCCATCTGAAAACTTACATGTAAACCTATAAATTGCATTTACTACCCCATGACAAAGATAAGTGAAAGTTAGAACTGAGAACAGAAGCACAAAACTAGACATTATTTTATTTTATTTCACAAACCCAAAAGTTTTCAGCAAAAATAAAACACAAGCACAAACTAATTACAAACATGATCACTCTGACAAAAAAAAAAAAAAGCCGAAAACACTCATATTTGAGGTTTACTAGAAATTGCAACTTCAACAGTCACGATAAAAGTCGATCGACCCGCCTCCCGCAAATACTGAACATCACCATTCATTAGCTTCACCAGTTTTCTGCTTATAAAAAGATTGATCCCTTCCTCAGATGCTTCCTCTTCATCACCGAACATTTCGCTCAACAGTTCTTGCGCTACTCCACCTCCACTGTGTGTTATCCTATCATAAGACGAGTACACGAGAATTTGTAAGTCAATTATACATTTTTTTTTGAAAATAAAAAATAATTAGTTCTATTTCTACCTGAATTCCAAATGGCCAAGCTTAACAGATTGGCCAATAGAATTTTTAGCCAAAGTTGCTGCAATGGTGAGCTGGCCTCCACTCGGTGTGTAAGTAACCGACACTAGCAAGAAAGTAGCTAGAACTTGTTGAAGCCTAGCACTGTCTCCGAAAAACAATTCGGTCGATAAATTTGGAGCCAACTTATCGACTATCATAATACCCTTTTCGTTGCTCTTCATCATTACTTGACTGATCGAAGCAATCAGCACATCGTGCAGCTTAAACTCCGTCATCTCAAGATCCAAATACCTAAGAAAACGAACACGAAAAAAAATCCCATTTAAAAAAAAAAAGGCAGAATGTTCCAGTTTATAAAATGGCTAAAATGGTAATTTTATGCATACCCTTCAATAATATGATCAAGATCCGTGTCTTCGAGAATCTTGTTGAGCTGATGCTGACAGTGAAGGCTAATCTGCAGCAGCTTTTTCTGCTCTTCGTCAAGTTCGGTTCCTTCCATCATCTTCCGAGTGAATTTAATCCCAGCCACAGGATTGCTAATCTCCTTCTTAATATAAGCCAAAACCCTCGATTTCTTCAGAGCCGTTTGCTCTGATAGCCTCTGAATATGAATGGCTTGTTGAAGCTCTTGGCTCGCCAGGTGTAAGAAGCAGAAAAGTCCAGTCACCGCCCCTTCTCCGTCCAACTTCTTGCTCACAGAGAGTAGGCACTCAATATACTTCCCGTTTCTCGAGAAAAAACCGAAAGGAATCTTTTCGGAATCTTGACCAGTGACTGCACTGTTGAGCGCAATACCGAGGTTGACAAGCGCCTCTTGATTCTTTAGACAACAGCAAGCTTTGTTATGCACACCGAAGACCTCGCCTATAAGCATTTTATCAATCATGTCTTGTCTATCCCAGCCTGATAGTTTTATCATGGACGGGTTCCACTCGGAACACCAGCCGAACTCGTCTGTGCCGAATATGGGCGGGATTAATGGGTTGGGGTTTTGTACGATGGCTTTGTATTCTCCTTCGATTCTTGTGAACTTGTCCATCATGCTCTTTTGTGCAGTTACGTCTTGAGCTATGAAACATACTCCGACTACGTTTTCTTTTACATCCCTGCTTGCACAAGCGTTCACGACTAAGCTGATTGGACCGCACTCACTCCTCGACCCGTGTGTCTTAATTTCGAACTCAATATTTCTCTCTTCTTTACCTGATCAAAATATAAAATTGGTAAAGTTATCACACAATCAAAATATGCATATTATGTAAGAAGCCTTGTAGTTGTCTTTCCATTGAGGAAAAAAAAAAAAGAAAGAGAGGTGATGCATGTCGTTTCAATTTACATTTACTGTTTCGACTTCAAACGTAATTTTGACCATTTTTAGTCTGAATTTGGCGAAACTTAAAGTATGGAATGTAGTCCTTTGAATCGGCATTCTATTCCAACTTGAATCAGCAAGATTGAGTGTCGGGTGAGAAAGATATGCATGAATGAATGAACACTGCCTACAACTTTGATGTTTTGAGTTATCTAAAATTCAAAATGTAACTCATACATGCATAACTTTGTCACCCGACATCCAATCTAATTGATTAAAGTTGGATTAGAAGGATGACTCAAGGGACTACACGTTCCGTGTTTTGAATTTTGCCAAAATCAAACTCGAAAAGGGTCAAAATCCCGTTTGAAGTCAAAACAGTATTAATAAAATTGAAACAACATTTAGCATTTCGGGGGGGGGGGGGGGGGGGGGGGAGAAAAACATACCTTGAAGTGCCAATGCCAACGTCTTATTCACCGTATCGGCACAAGATTCCTCAACAAGCGTAAGAAAATGCCTCTCAATCGCGTCCTCAACACGAAGACCAGTCAAATCAGCAATTTTCTGATTCCAACCATTGACAAGCCCGTTCGAATCAACGGCCAAGATAGGCACAGAGGCGGTTTCAATCAATCGAACCATCTCAGAGGTCACCGCCTCAAGCTCCTGTATACCCTCAATCCTCATATCGTTAAGCTTCGTATGAATCTCCTGAGTGTTTGAATCTTTCTCATCAGCCTCTTTGAAAGCATTTCTCAGAATAAGCTGCAATGAATGTATAGCATCCATCTCGTACTCCTTCCAAGGCAAACTCCTTGTCTTCACAACTTCCAAGAAAGCATTAAAAGAAGACCTCGGATGCATTTTCCGACCATCGTCCTTTTCCCCCGGCTCGTGCTTCGCTCCACCCCATCGAACCTCCGAGGCGGTGTGTGACCTAAACCAGAACAGCCAGTCCCTTTCGGTAATTTTAACCGCCGCCACTCCACACACTGCGTCACCTAACGCAAGTGCACCTGGAAAACCGGCATCGTATAAACTATCTGTGCTCAAACCTGTGGAATCTCTGTGGTATTCATCGAGCCAAGAAACTATATCGCGAATCTGAAAGTCAGTCGGAGTCATTCCCATACGGTACCTCTTGTTCTTGTACAGTAAAAGGGCCCCGTCGCATTTAACAAGGTCCATCACGTTCGGACTGCGGGACACAATACCTAACGGCGCGTCGCGCAGCAGCATATCGCAGAGTAGCGTCTGAGTTCGGAGAATATTCTTTTCGAGTATCTGATTCTCGAGCTCCAGCTCCTTGTTCACATGTATGGCGAAAACCTGAGCGAGAAATTCGCACGCGTATCGAAGTGGGAAAGGCACAAATCTTGGAGATGTGTTATGGCAAACAACCAACCCCCATAGCCTTTTCCTCTTCGAAGAATCGGAGGGCGAAGGCTCCTCTTCGGCTCCCTCGTTCACCACAACTGACATCACCAACGAGGCGATCGAGCCCATGTTCTCCATGTACTGCAAATGGCAGCTGTGTGGGGCCCGCAGAGTGGAGCCGCACAAGGTTAAATTGAAAGGAAGATGCTCGTCTTGTACCACCTTCACGTGATTCGCCCTACAGTCACAAATCATCCTCACCTTGTTCTTCATGAATAAAAATCGAGCGGCCTGAGGTATATCAGTTGCAGGATAATGCAAGCCCGCGTAAGGCTCGAGCCCTGGTTTTGTGATCTCGGTCAACACTTCTCCATGGTCATCATCGTGGAATTTATACGCCATTACTCTGTCGTAGCCCGTTAGTTCGAAAACTTCCTGCACCATAGTATCACATAGTCTTTCCATGCTGCCGCTAGGTAAGGACTGCAAACGGGCGATCGCTTTAGCGGCAAGCTTGTAAGATTGTAGTGCACCGGCAGCTGTCATGGGGACTTCATCGGGTTTGACCGGTTCGAAGTCAACGATTAAACTTCCAGTGACTCGATGGACTATGGCGTAGTAGGGTTTACCGGAACTTTTGCAGTGGACTAATATAGGGTTTAAGAGAGAGACTTCGCCGAACCCTAACGCTTTCTGCAAAGCTGCGCCGCTCGGGGCGGTGAAAATTGATCGGATATCGGATCCGATTGAGAGGACAGGTTGGTCGTTGACGTTCGGAACTGCGTGCGTGACCATTGTCAGCATTTCAGGGGCGTTTTCGCTGTATGCGATTACTCGGAAGGTTTTTTCGTCGAGGGCTAATAGGCAACCGAAGGGCTGGATGAGTGTGCCTTTCTGGATTTGATGGAGGTATGCTGTGGTGACTTTGTTGGACCTGGTTGGTTCGAGGGCCCCTTTGGTGGGGGCCTTTGTTAGGCGGACCGAGGTGGAGTAGTCGAATGAAGTTCCTGATTGGTCGAAGTCCGCGTGGAGCTTTGCGTCTGTGGACGTCTGTGCGATTATCCGAGCGGTGTGTCTTGATCTTGCTGTGTTTGTGGACGACTGACCGGGTTGTGGAGAAGTCATTTTCTCTTCTTTTTTTCTTTTTTACTTATTTTTTTTTTTCGAAATCTGAACGGAACAAAAATAAAAACTATATAAGAATGATTAAGCAGGTTCTAAATATTGCAGCAATAAAACCAAACCAACCAGTAATAGAACTTTTTTCGATCGGTCTTGTCGCTTTCGTCAAGCACAAAAAAAAAAACAGAAACGCGCGAAGTTCCCTAATGCTACATTTGGATTGGAGGATTTGAAATCAACCACAATTACTAAAAACGAAAAAAAAAAAAAAAAAAAAAAAAAAACCGAAAAAATGAGAGCTATGGATTTCAAATCCCTCCATCAAATTTTACCATCCAAATACCAGCCTCAGAACTCTATGCATCACATCATAATCCAAGTATAAACAGTAGATCACTTGACTTATATGTAAATCATATCACATCTCAAAGTTAGATTCAAATGAATTCTACTAATTCCAACCAAGTGGATTTGAATTTCAAGAATTTGAATATATATATATATACACAGTTCAAAACTTCACACACACACACACACACACACACACACACACACAGTTCAATGAAGCAAAAGTGAAGATATATATACACAGTTCAAAACTTCAACCTACCATCTATGTTGATCACACACACACACACACACACACACACTCACACTCACACACAGAGTTCAATGAAGCAAAAGTGATGATATATAATCAGAAAGAAAGCAAGAAAGACTGACCCCTTTACTTCAGCTTGCAGAAATCAAATTTTCATTTAAGAAGAAATCTTTGAAGTAGTGAAACAATTATACCTAGAAGAAAAGCTCAGCCTCAAATCCTCCTTATATGAAAAATAAAAAAAAATATGATCACCGCCTTACTTCATCTCCCCAAACCCAAGAAAACTGGGACCCACCCCCACGCGCCTCCCTCATACCCTTCTGCTCAGAACGCCCACCATTTCTATTTAAACAAACAGTTATTCTTTTTCTTTCTGGACCCCGAACATATAATAATATTAAATTATAACGCCGTAAACCCATGTCATTCCCAAAGTAGCAGTGCTCTATTATTGCACACCTAAACGCCGGGTCCAAGTTTCCAAAAGTAGAAACTTTGCCATCCGGGCCGGGCCGGGTCGGGTCACCCACCCGATTAGTTATATTTCAATTCCTTTTCCCCCAAATGGAGTTACGGCTGTCACGTGAATACGTGATGCAGAAAAACCCAATCTTGGGAGGAAAATTAAACGCAATTCGATTATTCCACCTTTTCAAGCGATAAATTGACAGATAATTCCACCGTTTTAATGAATTTTTTTTAGGTAAAAACAACTAACAGCAATTCGATTACAGAAAAATAAAATAAAAAAAGACGAGATTTATCGGGGAATTAAGAGAGAACTCACCATGTGATGAAACCCTTAAATTTGGGGAAAAAATTGATTGGGCGTAATGGGGATGAGTCGAATCGGGAATCGGCAAGTGAGTAGTGGGAATCACGTGGGAGCATGATGAGTAGCAGCATGGCAGAAGCAGGGAAGAGCGTGGGAATAAATTTGAAGAGGACGAATAGTACAATAATATGAACGCAAGTTGTTTGTTTATATGTCTGCATTTTCGCCCACATTTCATCCCTTTGCCCATGCGCCTTTTGTTTTCTGGCGCCCTTTTTTTTTCCCATTTGGATAACTTGTGGATTTTTTTATAGTTGATATTGTGGATGGAAATCGGAACGGAATTTTCGGATTACGACATTTTTCAATTCTAGAACAATGTCTTTTATTCGAATTTTGGAAATTTTGATTTTCGATTTAAAAAATAAAATAGAATTGGTTCGTAATAGAAATATATAAGAGGTGTCGATTTTCATTTTCGAAAAATAATTTTAAATGTTACATTTATAGTAGAAATACTGTTACGTAGTTTTATTTTAAAGGTAATTTTGGTCGATTTTGAGATTTTGGAACAAACTTCTAATTCCGAATTTTGAAATTCCAGATTCTTGTTTTCCCCAAAAAAAATTGGAACGGAATTGCAATTAGTTTTTAAATTTCAATTTTGGTTTAAGTTATATCTAAAGGTGCCGGAAATAAAAAACAAATTAAAATGGGACTACCACCGTCACAAAAACAAGAATTTGCAATTAAATTAGGAGGAACAACTCCACATATTGTGCCCAAGAGACAAGATAGGGAAATGCAAAATTTGTATTCATATTAAACGCAAATATTATTTTTAGTGAAAACATTTTCAACTTAAAATCAGATTAGATGAATCTATCTCACAATGTCGGCCAACAAATGAAATTAATTTGATGCAAAAATTGTTTGACCGGTCAACTATTAATAATCGATTAGACCAGTCAAAACCAGTTTAATATTGGTTCACTGGTTACTCTTCTAGTCTTGAAAGTCTACTATTATTTTTTCTTAGGTAATTCCAACTTTTGGTTTTCTCACCAAAATGTCTAAAAAAAGTGCTTCCACTCATGAGAGAGAGGGAAGTAGATGACAATTATTTTCATTTTATTTGACTTTAATCTCCATTAGATTAATTTCTTTTTTATTATTATTTTTTTAAGTTTGACACAAAAACTCATTAATATCCTCAATATACATTTTTGACAAAATCACCCATAACAATCTATCAAATAATGCAAGCAAATGATCCTTTTTGCGAATGCAATTTTGCGTAAGTACTTTTGTGCATGCTTTGGTACTTTTACTTATGTGCGTATCTTTTCTAGTGAGTGTTTTTGTGCACGTTTCTTGATGCGCATTCATGTCCTTGAACTGTAGTACGTATTTTCATGATCGCTTTTGGTATCCAATTTTGACCATGTTCGAGTCCGAATTTGGAAATTTGCCGTGAGACAGGAATTGTAGCCCACTTAAATAGCTTTCTAATGCCGGCGGAACCAGGTGATTTGGAGTCTGGATGAGAGAGATATGCTCGACTTCGTGGACACTACCAAAGATGTTGAGGGATTCTCTTCTAATTTGATTTTATTTTCTTAATTGCAACCCTTTTCTTACTCTTTGAACATTTTTGCTTCCAGGACACTTAATTTTTGATTTGTACCTATAAGATACCAAATCTACCAATTAAAATAGAAATATAAATTGATCCAAACAAAAATTCACGTAAATGTAAACGTAGAGTGGTATTTCTACACTCCACTGTCTCATTTGTATCTAGTGTTTTTGCTGTTGTTTGTTGATGCGTATTAAAGTCCTAGTATTGTAGTTCGTGTTTTTAAGAACGTTGCTCCGAATGCACTGTTGTGCATGGTTTTTTTACATGTACGTTTGTGCATGTCCATTTGAGCGAGTGTGTTTGTCCATGTTTGTTGATTTGCATTCATGTCCTAGGATTGTAGTTTGTGTTTTTATGATCCTTTTTGCGAATGCAATTTTGCATGAGTACTTTTGTGCATGTTTTTGTACTTTTACTTCGATTTTTCTATCGTCCGATCGCTCAAAACCTACCTGAGGTCCGATACCCCCTAAATGACCATTCATTTTAAATATATTAGATCTGAACCATTGAATGAAAAAATGATTTTGAGTTTCCTAGAAAAATGATTAAAATAATAACTTGAGCAATTACGCATATATCCTTTTCACTTAAAATTATTTATTGCATTAAAATAAAATAGGCTAATATGGAATAGTCTGATTTACCCCTCAATTAATTGAACGAAAATATCGCTGCAAATAATTGCTGATAGTTGGTTGCATATTAATTCATCTATGGCGAATATATCGATTAAATCAGCAACCCCAAAATCGACCTAAATTTTCTAAAAAAAATTCCCTTTTCTTTCCCCCTATTTTTTGCTGAAATCACACCCACAAACACTCCATAACATTCGATATAAAGGACTTGCAGGAATTTGTGTGTTCCCAATGAATTTGACAAAATTAGGGCAAAATGGGAGAAATTAGAGCAAAAGGGAAGGGAGTGAGAGGGAGAGAAGTGCAAATCGTCCTTTTATCAGCAATAATCTCCAACGGCATTATGGACAGTAACACGTGCATCTGCAGGAATCAGCAACGGCATTATAGCAAATCATTCTTTTAAATTTTGAGTCATTATTTATTTTTAGATGCATAAAACAGAACAAGTGGCCAATAAAAAAAAATTAAATAATTGGGTCAAACCCAATCCAGCTACAAAAATTGGGCCTGAAAAAGCCCACGAGTTAAAAAATCTACCAAAAGAATTTACATGTAGACAATTATCCCCGACCATTACAAAATTTGGTTTACAAAGTTATCGTAGTATTATATAAATCATAAGCTTCCTCAGTATCACCGCGACAATCATCGACGTTGACTAGGAATTCGGTAACATAATCCATGCTCTGATGTTTATTTCGTGCCATAGTCAAAGCCAGAGATCTTCTTACTAATGCTGAATCCTCCTATAAAGAAACGAAATTCAGTTTACTAACACCGTATTGGTGGTAAGATCTAATATCACACAAAACCAGTGTTGTAGGTTGCCTTTAATTGGGATGTAGATCTCATTTACAGTTGACATTGAACCAGCATAACCTTGAATTAGTTTAGGTTTAAAAAAGTGCCTAAGAATGTTTTCAATTTCCAACGTGCAATCACCCGTCAACATTTGTTGTACAAAGTAATCATGTTATTATTAATAATAACATGTAATGATGTAGTTGAAATCAAAAGCAGATAATAACACAGATAATATAAACTAATCCAAACTAAAATCCACGAAAACTTAAACGTAGACTGTTATTTCTGTAGAGTATTGTGCTTTTGCTTTGTATATGCAGGTAGAAAACACACTTGAATTGTTTGGATTCCAGTTTACTTTTCATTTAAATCCACACAAACTACTTGGATTCGATTATGACATTTATGTATAGTATTGTGCTTTTGGTTTGTATATGCAGGTAGAAAACACACTTGAATTGTTTGGATTCCAGTTTACTTTTCATTTGAATCCAAACAAACTCGTTGGATTCGATTATGATATTTCTGTATAGTATTGTGCTTTTGGTTTGTATATGCAGGTAGAAAAAACACTTGAATTGTTTGGATTCGAGTTTACTTTTCATTTGAATCCAAACAAACTGGTTGGATTCGATTATGATATTTTTGTATAGTATTGTGCTTTTGGTTTGTATATGCAGGTAGAAAACACACTTGAATTGTTTGGATTCCAGTTTACTTTTCATTGGAATCTAAAAAACTTGGTTGAATTCGATTATGACATTTCTGTATAGAACTGTGCTTTTTATTTGAATATGCATGTACAAAACACACTTGAAATGTTTGGATTCAAATAATTGAATTTTAATTACATTCATAAATCTACACTTGAAAGGGTTCTATTATGTTTTTTTGGAATTTACTTATTTCATTTGTAATGAAGTATGTATACTAAACAGTTTGATTTATAATTTATTATAAATGATAAGTAGTTTTTTGCCTTTATAATATGTTCATTTCTTGATGTATTATGAGTGTCGGATATTGATATTTAACCATTTGAAATATATATAAAAAAAAAAAAAAAAACATCATGCGTAATGAAATATTTCACACCGTAATATAATAATATGTTCTAATCTAATAAGTTTATATTAATTAAATATTTATTTTTGGACATAATTTTTTAACATCTAATATGAAAATTTTACCTACAACCTCGGTTGTCGTGCAAATATCCTCAAGAGGCTTGGGTTTCATCTAACCCTCTTTTAACCGCACCATCCACATCAGGCCGTAGTGTGACAATCAGCCTGAAAATATTCAGTAATATTCTCATCTTCAATTATATCTCCCTCCCTCCTCAACCCTAACTTACATAATGTCTTGCTCGCGAAAAAGACAGAGCTTAGTATGTAGGTCAACCGACGACGGGTTGTTTGAGATGGGTTACGACAAACTGATTGCTAGGGATTACTTCTTTTACAATGACAGGGCACCGAGATTGACAGAACAGTTGGAGGGGTTGAAGTTTATGGTTGAGAGGTCGGTTGACGGGAGTTTGAGCCGGTGGGGTGTCACGTATCTCTTGGAAGGGAGCCACTTCATGGGGAGCGTAGTGTTGCCGGATAATCCGGCAAGAATAGCTTTTGAGGAAGGGGTTGTGCGTAACTTTTATGAGAACTTGGAGAAAAGGACTGGGGTCAGTGAATCCGCATATTGTGGGCAAGTGTATGTCCACAGGGAGGTTTTTTAGTTCAACCGTGAAATCGATCTGAAGATTTCAGAGTTAGGGCAGCGAAAAAAACAATTGTGTAGAAGATATATTATATTTATATCTGGTAAGATGGTAATTACATGAAGTTAAAGAAGGCAATTTAGTAAAAGCATAAATGCAATTGGGCTTAAGAAACACTGAACCCACCTCCATGGGCCTGATACGCATACCCAATATTGCCGGATTTGTACCCGGGCCCAAGATCAATCCTTGGTCCGATCATGTGTACCAAATCACAGATCCGGCTGGATTATCGGATTTATTGAACCAAAATAGGCCTTAGTGAACTAATTAGCGATGTCTTTTTACCTTTAGTTGGGATTTTAATAAAGTGCTTTCAAATTGAGGCATTTACCTATAAACTATGTAGCACTAGGGGTGGTAAATAAGTTGAGCCGACTCGTGAGCTCGATGAGCCGGTTGATCAAGTTCGAATTCGAGTTTTTCGAGTTCGAACTTTTAAATTAGTCGAGCTCAAACCTTTTTAGTTGTTTGTGTATTCACGAGTCCGCTCGTGAGCCTATTTTTTTATATATATATATTGTTTTTATTTAAATAATATATAATATATTATAGAAATAATATGAAAAGAACAAACAAATATTATATATATATATATAGTATTCTTTATTTTATAATTTTTTTATTTTAATCTAAATATTTATTTATAATAAAAGGTAATAGTTATATAAAAAAAATCCAAAATGAGCTTGAGCTCGAGCTCAAGCTCGACAAAATGGACTCGAGCTCGAGCTCGAGGCAAAAAAAAAAAATATACTCGACGAGCTCGAGTTCGACAAAATGAACTTGAGCTCGAGTCTGTTAAAACAGACGAGTTCGGCTTGTTCACACCCGTATGTAGCACGTACACATAAATGGTGATACAGGGAAATAGATTGTCCGGAAAATGGGGATATGAAGACTTACGGGAAATATGTATTTATAAAAAACATAGGAGTATATTTATAAATATGATAACATATAATATTCTAAATAAATTTTAATATCAACTGTCAATTTACAATTGAACATTAAACCATGAAAATAATTAGAGAAGCAATAAAAATATTTAAAATTTTGGTATTCAAACACGTTTCTAACTTTTTAGAAATTACAAAATGGCCCACAGGGTATCCAGCAGGTGCCTTCAAATTTTCAACACGAAACGTGTCCGAAATGCAGAAACATTAAGAACTTGAAGTTTTTGTGTTACATATAAATTTATGATTCCCTACTTATTCACTAATAAGTATACCCAAATCATTTTTACATGAAAGAACATATCACAAGGTTCAAGGGTCAATAAGAGACAAAATATCCCACAAATTCTAATATACTCTAATTTCATCACTTGAATCTTAATTTAAACATAATTTCACCAATTAAACCGATTTTTTTCTATAACCCAATTTTGATCCTAGTTTTGAATGCCACCACCGTTGACTTTTTCTTTTCCTTTTTCTTATTTTGTTTCTCCGCCAACGTTGTTGACCTTTTCTTAGAAAAATAATATGAACTGTAATTTTTTGTTTTTCTTTTGAATTTTTTTCCTCCGTTGTCTAGCGGTCAATGTTGTTGATTTTTTTTTTAAACTTTTTTTTATAGAGTTCTTTTTCCGGTAAACACAGTAATATTACTATGTTAGATAATGCTACAGTTAATATTATTGTCTAACACAATAATATTATTATGTTACAATAAATAAAAGAATATTATATATATATATATATATATATATATATATATATATATATATATATATAT